TTACATTATTGCGCGCTGTAGCAACTTGTTGTGTCTCAAGAAGACATAACGCAGTTAGATATTTTGAGTAGCGCACCTTGGAAACGCGTGGGCTACCTTCATCGCGGTCATGCTCGTTTAGTCATCTTTCCGCGAACCTAAAAACTTGGCCTTCGACTGGACTGTTCGCGGTTTAATTCACTGGACGAGTCGTGTCGCGGTGGAAACTGTGCCAGCAAAATGGCACAGCTATTTTACGACGCACCTTGGGCATGTAACACAGAATTTTATTTCATCGCGAGTTTCACGGCATAGGTTGATGGATCAAAGTCGTACCAGTATCATCATCCCGTTAAGAAGACTTTGATGTTTCGACTGTAGTCATGATATAACTTTGTATTCCTCTCAATAAATCGTTTGAGTGAGAAGAGAGAGAAGCTTTAAAGCATAAGCTTAAAAAGACTGATGTTAAAAATAATAAATTGTATTACATGAGAAGTTAGATGTACAGTCGAAAGATAAGTCGACGTTTGTGCAGTTATTTGCCGCTTTAACTAAATATGTCGAGAAAACGAAAACGATCAGTTATTTCCACGCGAGAGAGAGCTATTAATCATAGAAGTTTTCGCAGTAGACGAGCGATAATCAGTAGGAGATTTGTTACACCCTATTCGCGTGCTTCCGCATGGCAAGTTGACAGCATTCCATATCTGTCACCGCGCCGACAGCTCGTCGAAGATAAGACAGGCTCCGTATACATAAATATCGCGAATACTTTCTATCGTCTGATAAGAACCGATGAAATGAATTTCCTCGTTGAACAAACGTTGTCTTCATCCTTGAGCTAACTTAATCTTCCCTGATCTTTCTCAATTTTCTTAACTATCGACAGTCATTAAAATATCTCCGTTAATCGAAAAGATACGCTACTCTTTATCCAGAATGTAATGCAGAATGTAATGACACAATCGTATAATTTTATTCCGGTAACGTATCTAACCCTCTCCGAGCAACAAATTAATCATCCGGTGCGCAATAGAGAACTCAAGGCCGCGCTCGCGTTCATTTCATAACATACCAGCCCCGCTTATAACAGTTTTTATTTTTCAATTGCACGTCACTGATATCTCGAAGACGATACTCCTGGGAAAGCAGCTCATCCACCATGCGTCCCGAAATAATCGGTCGAAATTCACCGAGCACAGGCAGCATCGTCCAAGGCCAGTCGCGATAATAACAAAAAATCTATCGATGACAGTGAAAGAGAGACACTAGGTCCTGTCTAGCAGGGGATGGTCGAACGAGGAAGTTGTAAACCTTCGAGGAACCCGGCGGAATGGGGTTCGAATGGTGGATCCGAGCGTGAAGCCAGCACGCTGCTGTTCGTGTACCGCTTGAATGCGAGATCGACACTTGCACAACACTCACGAAAATAGCACGACGACGAGCTGACACGATGGCCAGCGAAAGAGGAAAGGACGAACGTACGAAAAAGAAGCTGGTGAAAATGCTAGACGGACTCACCTCCAGTTAAACACATTCAGAGTCGGTTTATCGAGTTTCTTTGTCGTCGACGAACGAAGGAAGGTCGCGACCCTCGTCAACACGCTGAGCACTGGATGTACACGGTGGATCGATGGATCAGCCACTGGATATATCGTTCACCACTTTGCGTTCGGAATCCCCGAATAAATCCCCCGAGGCGGTGAGGAAGCCAGCCGGCGGCTATCTCGAGACTGCTACCAATGCCAGCCGCAAGGCGTCCCGACACCCTCCACGCTTCTCTTCTACCTCTTCTTCTTCTTCTTCTTCGTCTTCTTCATCGTGGCCCACGTCGTCTTCTTTCCTTTCTTCGTTTCTTTCACTTATAACCGTGCGTTGTGCATCGACATCGCTCTGGCATCCTCCTAGTCGTCGTCATCCTCGTTCATCTTCTCTTCTTGAGGTAGTTCATGGAACAACGCACCTGTTGTTCGATGCACCGGTTTCATCGAAATTTCGTTTGTTGGTTCATGTCGTTGTAAGCATTGGCCGAAGATTTATTGAAGAGAAGGTTCGTGGAAATGTGATGCAGTGTAAAATCGAGGATATTTTGAATTGAAGGATTAAGGAAAAAAGTATATAGGAATCTTAAAAGAGAAGGCTGACGATCTAAAGTATTGTCGTAATGAATTTTCGTTATGGAGATTGGTAGATGTTTTATCGATAGAAATGGCAAATAATGTAGAATAAAATCGAGGAAATTTGGAATTATAGAAAAATTAGAGAAGTAGGTAGTAATCTTAGAAAAATGGGTTGAAGATTTAAGATAGTATTGTACTTGATTTTAGGAGACAATTTTGCTAATGATACGATAGAAAAGTATTCGTTTGCAGAAATGGCGACCTTTGGTATTCCTCTCTAGCATCCTCGCGTCGCTGTACGCGAGCCAAGGGTTCTTCGAGTAATTAACGAGGGATCGTTACACAATTGTGAATTATCGACAATAGCCATTATGTGCATCTAAAAGCGTGCCCCTTTTTGTCGTAAATATTAACTTCTTCTCCTTTGCGCAATTAATTTCTTATCGCTTCGCATTTCGAATCGTGTTCGTTGAAGTAGCTGTACGCGCGCCAAGGTTCGATTAAATAATTAGAAATACTCGATTACGCAATTGATGGGCATCGATCGATTTAAAAATACTGTCCATTTCACAAGCATAATTTGCGAGTCTAATTCGTGCGATCATCGACGTTTTACGATCTAGCAGAGATTTAACGTGATTATTTTACTATTTTCCAAACTATCCCAAACTGTACGCACTGTTCGTAAACAGAATTGTTTTGATGTGACGAGCGCTTTGTCATCGTCATGATGTGCATAGAATTCGATCTATGGCATTGGCGCACCTACCTCTCAATTTGCTTTATCCTTAATCGTGTCGACAAATAAAATTTATTAATTATTTTATAGCATACTTATTTATAAATAGGAAACATGAAATTTTCCAATTTTGGATTCTGAGGGAAAGCAAATAGAAAGCGCGAATCACAGAATTTTCAAATTTGGCGCATTTAAGAACCGATAAAAAGCAATAGGAAGCATAACTCATAAAATCTTCATATTTGGTGCATCCAAAATTCGATGAAAAACAACAGAAAGCATAACTCATAAAAATTTTCAAACTTTCGTGCACTAAACGTTCGATTAAAAGTAATAGAAAGTATAGATCATACAATTTTCAAATTCACAAATTTTTCCTTCCCACCTAATCTTTCTTCCACGACACTATGCATCCTCTGCACTATAATTAAAAATTTCAGGGTGGTTCAGAGAGTGTAGTGACGCGAATTATCTGCACCATTGGATACGCTTGCAATATCGTCGACGAGGCGGACGAACGAAGATCGGTTGTGCTTTGGCTGGTTCTAATAATAATCGATGCCTAACGTGTCTCCAGGGATTTCTCTCCTGGTCCACAGCTGATATGTCCGTTGTATTTGCGATGCGTTGTACAGACCATAATTTCTACGGCAGCCAGTCTATAGCTGCAGTCAGTCGTCCTTTTTGCTATTCACAGCCGTCTTCTGTCCGGCGCCGATGGTACTTCGACGGATCGTTCGGAGTCTATTTGTGTTCTGACTTGGTTTTAATACGTGCACCACATGGTTTCGCTGTCGATGTACTTTTACGACCGGCAAGATATGTCCCGTTTTTCTTCCTGCAACTAGACACCTGTCATTTAGTCCAGACAAATCACAATTAGCCCTTTTCAGCTTCGATGAAGTATTGGTATAAATAAATTCGCTTACGATGTCGCATACTTGCAGTTTCTTCATCTTATCCTGCAATAATTTGAGAAATATACAAGCGTAAAAAATTGGCATAATTTATATTTATGGTATTTCATTCACATAATTAGAGTTTACACAAGTAAGTTCAGATAAATAGATTCCATAGGAAGAGTTAATTTCATTTAATATTGAAATAACAACATTTTTAAGTTATTAGGATTTCGCTGCAATGAGTGAAGTTTAGATAAATGGGATATTAGTCTGAAGCAGTAATTTCCCGTAGAGACTCTTTTACTCTCTTTCACTGTCCAAGTACAACATAAAATATCACTTTGTCGCAAATAAAGCAGCTACAAGTCTTACATTCTCAAGTATCACCTTAAAAAGTCATTAATGTCATACATATTGCATCGTAGAATTATTGTGATTGCTAACGCAATTATACTCCAAAAATGTTTCGCATGAAGCGGCGCTAACCGAGACGGAACGATAAAAAGATTGAAAGACTGCGTTGTGCCGAAACGACACACGCGCGGCTATAAGTTCATTTCCGTGTTATTAATGCAAAGATGCCGCGTGTAGGACATTCGTACATAATATCTGACTAATTGAGGCCGACGCGTGTACTTGGCGATCCTCCAAGTCGCTTTGATCGCACGTAGATCGACCCTATGCGAAAGCAACACGCACAAGGCACACACGTACTCACACGTCCCTGTGGAACATGTTTCTGTAGATTTAAGTACACGCTTGTGCCATTCGAAACGAGCAAATGGATCGAACTGAAGTTTGTAGTCTTTTCACGATGCTCAAAGACCACTTTGCACTGAAACCTTGTTTAAAGAAGGAAATAGAGGAATATGAGCAATCGTTTTAAACCCGAAGAAACATTTCCATGATTTCAAAGAGAATCGTACATCATAGGTAATATTGTCAGTTTGCTGGAAGTAAATATGCGAGGAAATCGATTTGAGTTAGAAACCTTGCAGTAGAAAATTATTAATTATTTCATAATCTATCGTAATAAAAAAATGTATTTCTTTAACCAATAGTCCCTAAATTTTAAGGATCTTTGATAAAATTATTCTTCGCATTTATTTCTTACTATGCAATAAAAACAATGTAAAACCAATCCTTCAAGTTGTGACAATTTTAAACGGTAGAATTTTATTAGTAAAAATCATGACACTCGCATAATAGAAAATAATAATTCTCGTTTTTACGATTAATTTTTGCAGATATTTGAAAAATCGCCAATTCTTGAAGTGTGTTACTCTTCCTAGTGAATCAACGGTAACGACATGACAAAAGTTGGTCGTGGAGAAACGAGCATCGAAAGTCGCGCGAGCGCTTTCTGCGAACCTTTCTCGAGGATATGTCAACGTGTTGGAAGAACCGCGCGTGAACGACCATTTTTCCTGTGATTTATTAACGATACTACCGCGAGACGTTGACACAGGAGAGGCAGAAAACGAAGGGGAATAACTGTCATGAATCGACGCGGTGAAGTACGAGCTTAAATCCATCGTGAGTACGCCGATTCAATGGCACCAGCACCAATTTTTCGATCGATCTACCTCGCGGAGGAATGCTGCTAACTTTATTCAGGTACGGAACAAAAACAATTTCAAATAGAAATAATATATCATCGATCCTTTTCACAAAATAAAAAAATGCGGCTGAATAATTTTGCTAACCAAAAAAAACAGATTGACCATGATCGTTCCGCTACTAATCAGCGCAGTTGGCGTCGAAACCAATCCCGAAAAATTATCGTTCGTACCGTCAGAAGAAAACAAAGCAGTGGCCCAATCGCATCGACAAGGTTCTACGTTTTTAAAAGAGAAATCCGTTCGCGATGAAGACTCAGGTCTCGTAGAGAAGCGGCAATCGAACAAGAATAGTCGATATTCCAGCGATCAAGATTCGATAGTACGTCGTGGTAGTGTCAGTTTCATAAAGAACAGGATCCCGAGACAAGGCGGCGGAGGATTAGCGCACAAAATGGCTAAGGATGCGCTCAAATCTCCGAAGATGCAGGAGACTATAAGGAAGCTTTCGCGAGTTGCGCCCAAAGGAACTCTTCGTGGGAGTATTAAAATGCCAACAGTATCGAAAACTGGCTCGAAGGTGGCCGAAGGTAGAAGACACCGGAAAGTGTTGAGACACAAGGGACAAAGAAAGAAGAAGAAGAGAAAAAGGTAGTGAAAGAAGTTGTTACCCTATCGACATTCAGACACGTAAATATATTTGGTAATTACATACAACAGGACACATCTCGTTGATTTCGATGATCTTGGTATACAGTAGAATTTATAGGAACGAAATTTTAGTTAGCGGCAGTTGAATCAACTGTTCGTTGGTTCAACTTACCTGAACGTGAACTCCCATTACACGAATAAAAATTCACTAATAGCGGGGAGAATCAGTTTTATGCTATCGTATGAACAGTCTAATCTCCGATAGGGTTCATATAAATGGAATTGCTATATTGTCATATAATTGCTATATTTTCCTGTTTTTCAGACATCACCGAAAGTTCAGAAAACAGCAACCTGGTTTGTTAAAGAGAGGATCCTCTAAGGTAGGTAAGCTTCGTTCATCAATTTTCCACTAATTATCATGGCCTCCCCAAGCGGTCAATTTGACTACGCATCGGATAAACGTTCGAAAAATATTCCTTTACTCAGAGAACGTTGGACACCGAAAGGGGCATTAACGTGTTAACAAAGAAATCAAACGGAAGGGGGAATTCTATGATTAAGCATAATCCAGTTATTCTCGGCGAGAAATCACGCGACGAATTGTCCACAGAATCGGACGTCGAAGTTAGCGCTGTGAAAGTCGACGACAGCGATTACGTTGATTTTTCCTCGCCTTTGAGTACCACCCAAAAATCGCATAAGATCGAAAGCGAAAAAATGATCGATCGTTTAATGAGAACTACCACGAAGGATCCGTCGAAAAAGAATCCAGGCGACCAAGGGGTCGAGTATTCGGATTATTATAGCGACGACGAAGTTCTCCAAGACATCGCCGCGAATAAAATTCCGATACAGCTGGCCGAGTCGAGAAATCTTAATGATCGATTCGCACGACAAACGATGAATTTTACGTCGCATCGTAGCAATCGGATCAGACACTTGAAACCTTACTATCCGGATTACAATACTCGCGGAAGAGACCTCAGGTACAAGGACGACGGTGTCAATTACCTTAATAATTTTCAGAACTATCCGACAAATGAACGTTTCTCGAGACTAAATCGGAACTCCCGACTCTTTGGAGCAGATGATCCTTTTCTCAGTTACGGGATCAATTACGGATCCTCGGAACATCAAAACGAAAATTTCGACGCACCATATTCGGACAATACGGCAGAAATTCCGGAACACTCGCAAGTAGCCGAAGATAATAATTTCGATTCGAATGAATTAAACGACGAAGTTCAACAACCTGTTGTCGAGACGCAGAATCCAGATCAATTTAATTATTGGAATCAATACGAAACTCCTGAAGAAAACCTGCAGAACTTAAATCTGGACGAATCTCAGACTCTGAATATAAACGAACCGATCGAACCGCAAATTCAAAGTTTAAACAACTACCAACAGATAGAGGCAAATTTGCCACAGGAAGGAAACTTCGAACAGAGTATGATAAATCAACCTTTAATAGATAACACGAGGATTCCAGGCGCGAAAGGAGAGAATACGGAAATTGGTACTCCACTTAATTACTCTCCTCCCCAATCGTACAGTAATCAAGAAAACCAACAACATAACCAACAAGTAGCTCCGCAAAATTTCCCAGTACAGTCCAGGTACAATCTTTCGACAGTAAACGTTCCCAGCGCGATGGACCAGCCTCTTGGAAAGGTCCTAGAATTCCTAGGAATTAACGTCGATGGTGGTAATCGCAAACAAAATCCAAGTCTGAACGAAAATATTAATCATCAAATATTGCCTTATTCCAATACCTACGAAAACGGAATACCGGAAGAACATTTTATAAGTCCAAGTTACTTAAAGAAGAAACCAGGCAGAGAACAAACTAGTTTTCACGAGGATGACAATACGAGAGGATTGGAACATCAAGCAATTAGATACAGAAGCAGAAGTAAGGCGGAAGAGGGAAATTTTATGAGGCAGTCGAATCGAAATGGAATATACAACAATGATAATTTGGCACGTCTGGACGATGGTAGGGACCCTGGTCATAATACGAATACTTCCACCGCGGTGCATAACACGAAAGAGGTAGCCAGTGAAATACTCAGTACCATAATGGACGAACTGGACGAACTGAAAGAAGTTCGGTCGAAGAACAACAAGGGGGAAGGTAAGATCGAGTAAACCGCGCATAATGTGTAATGTGATGTTTCGCTAAATGAAATAGATGGCCTGAAGCTTGGCTATCCCTGATATGTGAAACGAGCGATATTTTTAGGCTTACCTTGCCGTTTGTCAGGGTCCTGGTCAACAGCTCAGGCCGGAATGAAACTGGATATGAGGGTCGTGAATCGTACTATAATCGTGAGGCTTTCCGACCTCACGTCACCGCGTTTACACGATAGCTTGCTGAATGGAACGTGGAACATATCTGGTCATGCCCCATTCAAACGTGGTTCGCCATTTACCCTCATCGCCACCAATAATTGTACCAATTCCATAGCCGTCTTTGTTGGTATGCAATTTTACGAATAATTGTATTTTTTGCATATCAGTGCTTTATTCGTAATTATTTATAAAAGGAATTATCCTTCCTTTATCACAAAAATATGTATTTTTTTCTAAAGACATTAACTGATACGTGAGTGTTGTATATTTTAGCGTGATAGACGCTAATAGAAAATCTTCCAATAAAATGGTCTCTGATGATATCTAACATTTATAGAATATTTTGCTGTAAGAAAAATTATTAATTCAGATATATCTATCATTGAACAGATCAAAAGTAGTTTTTTAATTTTCGAGTTTTTAGTAATTTAAATACCAAGCAGAGAAAAGTTCGAAATTGAAAAATATCATTAAAAGCCGCCGTTGCATGGTCAATGTGCTAAATAAAATAATTGAAAGTAGAATACTGACATACATCGAGATTTGTGAATACGTAAATCGTTAATGAAACTCTGTTTAGGTGCTTGCAGGGTGTGCCAGGGTATCGATACCATAGCAGGTGTTTGGTCCGTAGCTCGACAACCAAAAGATTGCAAAGACTTCCAGGTATCCACGAGTGTCTTCAACGATATTTTCCGCAAAACGAAATTGTCCAGTTTGAAAGAGAAACAAGGCGCGAATTCGACGGAAAATGCGACAATGAAGCATAAAAAGAGGAAAAGCTAGGGGTAGTTGAACCTTCTGAAATCCGTATGACGCGGAAGATCAATGGAACAGGTAAGAAAAACGTTGGAATTTCGAGAGATGGAACTACGATAATGGAAATGATGATCAATCCGCGTGCAGTTAACGATTCGTATGAAAATAATGTATCGCAACACATATGTAGTAACACGTATACAAGAAAAATGTAGAATACTTTGTATTATGATGTAAGTAGCCTCTAATAAATATGGCGTTTTGTACTGCGTAATTTTTTATCACGGTATTGTAGATTTACAAGTTCCCTGGTTTCTTGGTTGGACGTTTATAAATTTTTAATTTTACAATGACCATAGTTTTACACGTTTTCAAAAAATGTAACAAATATTTTTATAATATCGATTCGCGTCTTCCGAAATATTGATGTATCGTATCGAAGCCTAACACGTAGATCTACAAATATTGCAAATAAAAATTATTTATCCTCATAGCCAGATACATAGCGAAGAATAGCTACAATACCTTCAGCAGACCAATTTGTTCCGTAGTGTCTGGAGTATACACCGGGATTGACATGATCCGTTCACCACTTCCTAGCGCGTAGTCCCTTATATTAAAATTAGCGAACCTATGCATGGCGGTTTTTCTAAATTAATATTTCTCCCACGGAGAATATTTTAATAAAGAAATTCTTTTTCATCTCACCCAACTTCCACACACTCTTTCGTATCCGTTTCCTCAGGAAGCGGTTCACATACGACAATAAACTTTATGTTAGAGTTAATAGACTGATCCAGCATCGCGCATAAGATCCTATTTTGCAACGGGTACTTGTCTTCATGTACTCGAAACTCTGTGAACAATGCTTTCTCAGCCCGAAATTTTTCCAGCAAAGAATAAAAAAAGAAAAAAGAACGAAAAAGTCGAAGAGATTACTATCTTACTTCTTCTAAAATTATATGTTAACTTCTGGTTTGGTGGTTGCGGTTTCTTCACTGAAACCGTTTCCATGTCAGCTCCACAATAACCCAGGAAACAATATTCGATGTAAAGGAGCTGATACTCTGGATTCTGCATTACGGTGCTTTTGGGGAATAAAACCAAATTCATGATTTCAATGATAATTGAGTCCTTTCCAAGCTGTAATTAGTATTTCATGAAATTCTATTAACTTCTGTAATCTTAGTGATTGGAAAAATGAATTGGTAAAACATTTTAATTCATACGTCGTTGTCTTTATCATCAACAATATAATCAGATGACAAGTCTTCCGTAAGCGAGTCTGAAATTCATTTTTGTAAATAATCCTAATCTTTGCACATATAAATCAGGGTAATCTTGTTTCGAATTATAAATTGTTATACATGCCCTTGAAAGTGAACGAAGTGCGTTCTTTATATTCTTGCCAGTTTTTATCTGCGATCACGTTGGTCACCTCGGAGATCGAATCGGCTGATTTTGTCCGCTCTGGCGCATCGGTTTTATTCTGAATATATCCGCGAGATCAAAATTAAAGGCTGGAAGAACAGCAAATAAATGATCTTCTAATCTTACGTTTGAGAGGAAAGCATTAAATTCCACCACGCTTGGTCTCCCCATTTCAGATTCTTCGTTTGACTTCTCTGTAGTTTTCATAGGCTTCGGTCTATTCAAAATCATGTCTTTAAATCTATCTAATGTTTTATTTAAAAGATGCAATACTTCTCTACAATCTCGTTCTCTGTGGTTTTTTCGAGCGTGTCATCCCACTTAACCGTAAAAGTAGATTTATGTTCATCCGTATGGAGTTCCCCGTTCGAATCTAAATTGTCAGTTTCGTCTACGCTCTTTTTCACCACGGTGGAGGAAGCGTCGTCATGCTTAAACTGCGTTGTCGACAAAGGGACATCAGTAGAATTTTCACCTAAATAAAACACGTGATCGATTGAGTCTATCCTATGTAGGAAACGTTTTATTACCAATTATTTCCTCGTTCTGTACTTGATTCGTCAATATAAGTAGGCTCGATTATGCTTATCGTTGTTACAGCAGGCAATTTTCCCGGATCTTTATACTCTATTTTGGAATTTTCATCCTTCAACACCAACGGATCGTCTTTTGGTGGAACAACTTCCTCCGATTTCAGCGGTTTCTCTGGAATCAGCGTTTCCGGCGGTTTCTCTGGAATGAGCGTTTTCAGCGGTGGTTCTGATATTATACCGTATCTTCTTTTGAACGCTTCTACTTGCTCGATGTCACAGCTTAGTCTCACCCATAGAGACAATTGACCAAAATTCATTCCAATCGAGCAAGGGAGTACACTGTTCACGGGTGTGATATAGTGAAGTTTGTTTTGTGGATAGTCCAATATATCTTTGATGCAAAGCTTCCCTTTGGCTACCATGTAGTTGTCGTTGTCGTGAAACACGTTCACTTGGAAGGTCACGAGTTCTAGAAGAATGTAGTTGAAGAAGGAGAATAGGTCCGATATTCGATAGACGAACGACGAATTGAAGTTCAGCTTGGGACATTTGAGCGTGGGCGTGTAGGTTGTATCTTGATTCCAAATGTTCCAACTCACGAACAACAACACGTTGCTAATGTCCTTTTCTCGGAAAAGGATCTGCTTAGCCTGACATACAATAAAATTTCTCATAAAATTACTTCCGGATTATTTTATTTCATACTAACGAGTTTATTTAGTACTAACGGACGTGGAAAGCTGTAAGGATACGATATGAAGCTCCACCAGACCCTGACCATCCGCGATTACTAACGGAAATGAATCAGAAAAGGCACTCGTAGTATCGACACACTCGTTTGGACAATCGGCACTGCAGGAAGAGTCTACTTTCTGGACCTCAGATTTAGGTCTTCTATGTATAGGTTGGTATCGTATCGAGTCAATATCTTGCACGTGCTTCACGATTTCATTCACCTAAATGTTCGTAGTACGAGTTTTATCTTCTATCGACATCCTATCGATTTCAGTCGAGTTTTAATTAAATTGTAATCCTTACTGGTATCCCACTCACGGTTTTTTTACACCTATCTAGGTATTTGATGTATTCCTGTAACGATTTATTGTTGGCGGAAGAGGTATTTCTGTTCTGCACAGTCTCACGCGTTTCCGGGGATTTGTACGGTCCAGATTTGTCGTCCTGCAACTGACTTCAAAAGGTGATTTCATGAGTTTCGCGAAACGATCGAAGATGTTGAAGTTCGTTACCGAGAAATGTTCAATGCGCCTGAAGTTCTTGGTATATAGCAGTTTCTTGTAGATGCGAGACAATCGTTGTGTAAAGGTGCCTTCGAGTCGATCAAGTCGTTCTTGTTCTTTATTGCCTGTCCTTTACATTGCATTTGCGTATTGTTGAAGTGGCACGTAAGCGGTTTAGTGGAATTACAGCAACATCGGTCACATTGTGTATCTAGATTGCACCTCAGTAAGCTGCTACAAGTACAATCATTGTCATCAGAGACTTTAACTGGCCGACTACAACTCTGCACATTGGGCAATAATTTTCTCTTCGGCTTCTCTTGTTTACTGTAAGGATTCGAGCAATATTTTCTTGTGCTACAACCAGATCGAATCGAACTCTTTGCAACACTGCTTAATGTCGTATTATTGTTGTTGATGTCTTTCACGAATTGATACTTAATCGGTGGAATTGCACGATACAGAGTGTTGGCTTCATGAGGTATCATGTATGTATACTCTTGAAGAATATTAAACAATACGGATAATACTGTATTAGGATCCGTTGACTGAGAAGCATTGTCTTTTTTTTGCTGCTGGAGACCGACTTGAAAAGCTGCGGCTTCTTGAATTCCTTGTACAAGTGTCCCTATGTCACTGTAACACAGTGTCTAACGATAATTACTGAAGATAGAATATTAGAAATAGAAAATGTTCGATTACAAAAGGGAAATAAAGTATATGAAGGTACTATAATACGAAGGCATCACTTTATTACGTGTTTTATTTACCATAAAGCTTATCTATATCTTATTGAAATATAATCAAATACCATTATTTAAACGAACACATGGAATTCTGCCTAAAACATCTGGAAGCTCCAGAATTTTGCTGCGTCACAATTATTAATATTGACGTTATTCGGAAGAACGATATTAAAATTCGTCAAATCTTCCAATTCTAACGAACAGGACATTGAAATATTTTGAATTCTCTAAACTCTGTCTATCCTATCTTAACTAAACTAGGTTCATATGAATATATATATACAAATACAGCGTTGAAATAGCGCGAAGAATAATCGAACAATTTTTGTCAACAATTAGAGTCACCGAAGAGCAGTTTCTCAAGCGAGACAACTTGCCTGTGTCTCTGATTCTGATCCATCACGTCACTGTAGTCGGCATCGGTAGCCATGTGTTTCTGATTAAATTTCGCTGCATCCGTAGATGTGCTTATCTGTGCTTGTTCCAGAAGTTTCAGCATTTTATCTGGAGTCAAATACTTCTCTGTAACTATTGCAGCATCTGTACTTTGCGTTGCAATTTGTGGTTCTTCCATTTTCGATGTTTCTTTTATAGGTGTTATAATCTGCAGATCTTTCGTGCCTACGGTGGTTACGCCGGATTCATGTTCTGTCTGCACCGATCTATCCATCAATTTAACAGATTTTTGGATTGCATTCGTAGTGTCTACATGTGATGATAGTTCGCAACATCCTTTGCATTTCTTCTCTTTCCTAGCGATATCCAACTCAAAAATCTTTTCGAGCGCTTCGCAATATTCCACTTGAATATTGCGAAGAATATTGCATTTTTCCACTTGAATGCTGGCATCTTTGCGCGATTCGCATCTGTCGATTATCATTGGTATCTTCGTCTCGGGTTGTTTCGTCGATATTGGCGTAGTTTTTGTCGTTTCCTGTTTTTCCGTCTGCGTCTGAAAACACTAGAATAACGCGTTCGTTACTTTCATTGATGCTTTGTAAATGTATCTTCATTATATGTAAAATATTAGAATATCAATATTAGAATATCAAAATTTATTTAGTTGAGTACCGAGAAAAAAACACTTACTTAGTTAAAGAAGCAAACATCTGAATTGTCAGGCAGAAGACCAGCATTATTGATTCAGAAAAAAAATTACACACTGACCGTTAACTGTACCGTTAAACTGTCTATATTCTTCTGTAGTTCTTCGAGTTTCCCGAGTAACTGTTCGTTCGATGTTTTCAGCGCCACGATATTAGCCTGTTCGGTGTTAAAAGCGGTTTTCAAAGTTTCTTGATCGTGAAGCTGCTCCGTCACTTTTTTCTTTAACTCCTTGTTCTCAAGCTCGACTTCGCCATATTTGGAGCTGAGGTCGATGAGCTCGCTGTTGTGCTGCTGCAATATCTTCATCTCGTTTACTAGGTCCTTTATATGCTCATCCTTCTCTCGCAGCGAGAGTTGAGAGTCCTTTGCCTTTAACATCTGTTCGTCGATCTCCGCCACTCGTTTCTTCTCTGTCAGGAGCTCCGTCGTAATCGTTTCGTTGTTCCTAATTACATATTTATAACATTTTCTATTTTAGTTACTCGATTTCTTATTTTATGAATAAAGACAGTGCATTTACATTTGATATTTAACATCTATCTGCTAGGATCCAGGAGATAGATACTTATAAGATAAAATTTATTTATAAAATAACAAAGGTTGAGGAGAGGAAGTTTAATTACGCGTGAAACTTGTGTTGGAGAATTTATAAGTTGTTTCATGCATAAAAAAAAAATGCATGCATAAGAAAAAAAGAGAAAGGTAAAGGATGATAATGCGATAGGTGGAACGCGATTCACACAGTTGGTCAAGTATTGTTTAGAAATATCGTTGTTGTGCATGAGTAAAGGGACGTTAAGCGTACTTCGTCTTCTCATAAAGCTCCCTCTTCAAATCTTTGATTTGCGCATTCAACGACTCGTTCTCGTTCTCAGTGGCTATTAGCTTATCATTCAGTTGCTTCATTTGTCGCCAGACCCTTATGTACTCAACATTCTCTGCTACTTTTTCCCTTTGGTTCATGACTGTACAAGTAGACAATTCTTCCTCTAGTTCAGTTATCCGATTAGACATTTCTTTCTTCTGCGCTTCCAATTCCTGCTCACCAAATACAATTTTCATTACCTTTTATATCATCTCCATCCCTAATTCTAAATTTAATAAATGACAAGGTGTTTGTTCTTCGTTCAATCATTTATAGATATATAAATAAAAATAACGAATAAAACAGAAGGAACTCGTCGATTGCTATTACCTCGATTTTATTGAGATTACATCGCGCATTGTCGTCGTCAATACAGTGACAAGATGGTATCTTAGTGCGGCTGCTTTCACTTCGGCATGTTCTAAAACGAGGATCTCGACTCAGTGATCTATCACGATATGCCGTGGTATGAATCATAGATTGCTTGTAATATGACGCTATGGACTTACGTGCGTCCAGACGAAGGCCTCGCTTGGGGATTACGACTTCTTGATGACGATCTACCTGTTATTGTATGACTCAGCAATTGATTTCTTAGCACCGAGACTTTATCTTTCAGCTGGAAAATCGATTGCAACATTATCGTATTAGTCGCAATAGTTGTCGACTTGAAATCTTATTCACTCTATTTTCAACCTATTTAGCTTCAAACAGATCAAGGGTTCAGAAATGACTTCCTTAAGGATTAGAAGATAGAGTTGTTTTTTCACTTCTTATTTTTCAATTTTTTTTTATTGACTTTGAAAATTTTTAATTAAAATTGGAGTAAAAAAATTGTAAAAAGGAAAAATTCAACTTTTACCTTGGAGTTCTCAAGTTCAAGAGTGATTATTTTATTCTTATCCTCATAAACGTCTAAGGCAATTGTGCATGATCTTGAATTGCCAGTTACTCTCATCAGCTTTGTTGTCAATCGTTTGATCTTATCTTCCTGACAGTTTGTTAATTTTTTTAAGTTATTTGCTTCATCGAGCAGTCGTAAATATCTGTCTTCCAGTTGGTAACGATCGAGCTTAAATACAATGTGTCGCTCTCTGGGATCTTTAATTTGTTTCAAGTAAAAGTCATAAATTAAAAAAAGCCAAGTGTAATATTATTTTAATATTCCTGTCAGATACGAACCTATACTACTGCGACAAGAATCCACACAAGAACCTTCTCTCACAGGCAAAATGTCTCGATTTGGATCGTCAGCCATAATTTCAAAATTCCACTATATTACCTAAAAAAAAACTACGACAAAATAAATTATTAATAATTATTATTAATAATAACATTCGTTTCTGATCGAAATATTCAAATATTTGAGCAAAAGTGCCAAAATTAACAAATTTGAAAATTCCAACATTTCGGAATTTTTTAATACAAAAGTTTCAATGTTAAAGATTACATGAACTTCCAAGTTTAAAAATTGAAACAGGCATATTGTCATATTTTATACAGCAGTTCGTGTAATTCGAACGCGAATGCGCGTTATGTTGTACTTTAAATATGAAGCTTCTTTTTTTCTTGTTTCGAAGTCCGTTCAAATTTTGGCGGGCAAATAGACATATCCGGCGGAGATCTTTCAATAAGGAATGATTTCTTGATAAGAGATTTTACATGTGTAGACAGAAATATCTTGATAAAATGCTCTATCGGCTTTTACCGAAACCACACCTGCCTAAAATTGTGTATAAGAGAACACAAACGCTATTCGAGGGTTATGCTCGGCAAGGTTCGTTGAACACAGTGGTTGTCTCCGAACCAAATGACTGAAATTCTGTCTTGAATTATATCCTCATTTCTCCTCTATTACAAATTTTATTCTTTATAGAAAAAAGAATGTTAAATAAATTATTAAATATATTTTAACCACAAAAACAATCTATGTCTCTTCCTTGTATAATAATAATAATATAAATATACATAGGTATATAATTTCATAATATTACTGCATAAGGAAATATTTAAAATCGATTTATGCAAATATTAAATTTCAACAAGAAAAATCAAAAGCATTTCGTATATATATATATATATATATATAGCACTTATAAAAGCAAATACAATAATTGAATTATTTAGCTGGCATATGCATCACACATATGCGTATTTAAAATACGTGTTTCGTCGGAATATGTGGAAATGTAGGAAAATATGTATGTCATAGAGTTGATTAAGAGGAAAGAGATACGTATCCCCTTTGTGATGCGTCACCGGGTATATGGGGCAGTGCTTCGATACGCCGGTACAACCTGCACTGCACTAACCTTGGTTTGACATCGTGGAGTGTGCGTGCGAGAGAAAAGTTAAGATGGCGGCGGATGGAGATGTGATCCCTGATCAAGAAAAAGTACGAATAGTTTCGGACTTTATACTGCATTCACCGCCGGGCGAATTCAACGAGGTTTTTAATGATGTGAGAGTCTTGTTGAACAACGACAACCTGTTGAAGGAGGGTGCGTCCGGAGCATTTGCTCAGTACAACAAGGATCAGCTCACGCCTGTTAAGGTACATCATCGACCTCTCTGTGATGAACTTTTACAATTTTTTATGATAGTATCCGGGGTATCGTTTAGTATCTGTGGTAATCGAAGATCACACTATCTCAGGAAAGTGTCGGATCGAATTTCAATGGCTAGTAACGGTCCTAATCGTGCAACACGCGTTTGGAATTTCGACAGGTGACGTTGACTTTACAGTGAAATTGGAGCGCGATAATATTCACCTGGCTAATGTGATTGTTTACCTAATGTATCCTTAAATCGCTATACTGCAGTTGCTATGTGCAAATCTTAGTGGAGTTTCGATCGAAATCGTACGCTGCAGTAGGGTTAATTATAGTTACATTTTGTGCTCATTTTAATAGGAAATATTTGAGACTGATCTATAATAATTTCTATTTCTGGTTCAAGCTTCGTTTCATTTCGAAATTTGAAAATAATATTTATTTTGTAATTCTATGAAATAGATTTGGTTAAATTAAGGTTAGATACTAATTTATTTATAAGTGTATTTATATGATAAAATTTTTGACATTTGTGAATCTTGTGTTACATTGGTCAATTTGTTACTGTTTTTGACTTCAGATTGATGGAAGCGAATATCCTGCTCTTATAACAGAACACAATGATTTAGGTGGACAAAGGTTTTATGATGCTCGCAGTAAGCAAAGTTTTAAATATGACCATCTTAGAAAGGAAGCACAGGATTACGAACCGTATGAACCAGATCCTGTATCTGAACCATGGAGATCGGCTCTACAAGATGAAATAACAACTTACACTCAAAGTCATTACAGACACGGTGCATGTTCAGTTTTTGGAAAGAGTCAAGGAGGTATAGTTGTTTTTTTTAAATTTCAGAAAATTTTAATTGTTTGAAAATCGCAATTGTCAACAAAATGTGGTTTATTCACTTACACAGGTAATATTACCCTAACGGCTTGCATAGAAGATCATCAGTTTCAACCTAAAAATTTTTGGAATGGCCGTTGGCGTTCTGTATGGACTGTTAGTTTTAGTCCAAGTTCTGGAAATGCAGAATTAAGAGGTAGCCTTAAAGTACAAGTTCATTACTATGAAGATGGAAATGTACAGCTTGTCAGTAGCAAAGAAGTAAAAGAAAGCTTACCGATCTCAAATGAGAAACAAACAGCAAAGGAATTAATACGGCTTGTTGAGGAATCAGAAAATGACTATCAAACTGCTATATCGGAAAATTATCAAACAATGTCTGATACAACCTTTAAGGCCCTACGAAGGCAATTACCTGTTATGCGAACGAAAATTGACTGGAACAAAATTGTATCGTACAGTATTGGCAAAGAGCTTAAAAGTCAATAGAAATAGATTTTTTATATAATATTAAGAGAAATAATTAAAATGCGCATTTTGCTGCATGGGTGAAGTCTGGAGGTGTGATGTGCATGGGAGCAAATGTAACAATGCTATAAGTTTGGTTAAACATGTTTTGACTGAAACTCATGCATGCCACTCAAGGTTCCTCTGGACCCCTAAATGTATCTTGTTAATAACAAAAGTAATAAAAAGAAACATCACTGTAGCTATCGATTTTTTAAGAGCAAAAGAGAAAGAAGTACAGATATTTTAACTACAATATCTTTTTTTACCGAGCTTTTTAAATTCTGTATTAACAATTTCTAATTGCATAAAAAATATTTTTGCGATTACATTTTATTTCTAATGAATTTTATTATCAAATGCTTTGATATAATACTGGGTTTAAATGTAACAGAACATATATATTGTTTATAAACACTCATCTTTACGATTAAAACGTCCATTATTTTACAGTATTTAAGAGATTGATTTATATATTAATCTATATATTATGTGGATTGGTGTCTGTTTATAAATTTACTACTATTTAATAATTTACAATCGGGGTAACGGGGATCCTTGGTCTTACTTTTTGTAAGCACTTTAATTGGAATTATATTTGGTAAACCAAGTCATGTAAAATTTGTAACTGATGGCTAAAATCAAACAAACGTGAAACTTGGGGTGAAATATCGAAATCCGTTAATACATTTATTAGATACATTCAAATTGCATCAATCAGATAGTAATCTTGTACAATAATTATATTTCAGTGCAAACATTTCTAATGAACTGCATTTACTGAATTTGTTGTAATTAATTACATGGATTATTGTCTTGTTGATAATTTGAATGAATAGATAATTCTACTTCATCAATTTTGTAAAATTTATAGTTTATAATCTGGAGTTGAAGTTTAATATTAAAAGATTAAATGCATCCATTTTAACTTATATTGATATCATAATGTTAATAGTCAACATTACAAAGTATAAGTACATGAAGTATTGCACAGTGGGAAAGAAATTGCTGTCTAACATGTGCATGTTCGGTCAGCCTAATGAAACCATCGAGTTAAAATACTTGAATCAATGGTGATTAAAATTTTAATTCATTAGTTGCACAACAATATAATTTTTTTTAAACACTTAAGCCTTGTAACACCTAAAAAGCACAATAACATGTTTAATATATCTTTAAATGAATACTGTCATGGTTTCATGCTATGTACAAATATAATAGCATGCTGGGGCCACAGGTGATGTCAAAATATACAATATCAAATTAAATCGATATGTCTATCATCGATTCACAATCTGGTACAGAATGCCATTAAGTGTTCATAGCATTCGATACACAAAGCAAAACTTCATTCATTATAAATATTGGTGGGCAAGGCCTACTATTTTTGTCCAATTTTATATTTCATAAAATATAAATTTATACATTTTTGTTAAGATGTATTGTTTTATGATAAGTATGTCTATTATGGCAAATATGTTGCAAAGTTTAATAGTACGGTATGAAATAAATGTTAATCATTGCAACTTGATTTCTGTGTTAATCATATTATAGTTGTATGAGTCATTTGTATCAAATAATGATGTTGAAAAATCTTTTGGTGCTATCGCTTACCACACATTACACAACCAGACATGTATGCGAAAACGGAAACTAACAAAGTACATAATGCATTGTACATTGTAGAATGTAGCCTATAGCCTGCTGGAGCCTTAATCTGTTCACTTTATGTTGAGGGGGTATTATGTACATATGTTATTTGAATGAATGAATGCGATGAAGCACACTACCATTTGACTTTTCAGACCTTAGGATTCGAAACATGTTTGTAATATTATTCATATTTTGTAAGTTACATCGTAATCCAAAATATTTTATTTAATCATGCTATTCGATAATTTTTAGAAAAAAAACTTTGAACAAAATACATACATAACTTAAATATAAGATCATAAAATCATTTGATCAGTTGTGAAGAAGTTAAAAGAAATGTGCAGAGATATAATACAAAAAACTTAGTATACTAAATATTGCAATAATAAAATTTTATATGTAAATATGATGATACACATTATTTAAACATTGTAATTTGTGTTACGTATGTAAATTACAAATGAAGTGTTGAAGTTTCGAATCTTATCAAACTTTACAGAAAATAGTTGCCTATGATAATAAAATTAGGTATTACCTACAATCGAATGTACCGTAAAATAAGAAACGCATGTCCTTATGTAAAAACTTAAACACAGAATACATTTATCAGTTAAATTATGTATTATTAAATGTTATGATTGATTAAATAAAGTGATATAACACTTTATACTTTGACTATCAACTTAAACATCATGTTTAATTCAGAAAAAAATAAATTTTATTTTTTTCTAAATGTACTTTACTTTAGATAATAGTTAATATCAACAAAATTCAAATATCAATTATTGTTGATATTAACAAATGTAGGTAATACAACTATGGAATTATTGAAGGTAGAAAAAAACACGTAAAAAATGTGTTATATAAACTTTATTTTCAAATTTTATATAACATAAACAACTAATTATGATAAATAAATGCATATAGAAATTCACACTATACTGTCATAAAAAATAACCTTAAGATTTCTCTATTAAAAAGATAAGATAGGACAAAATATATAATACAAAATATTGTATTTGAACTAATTACTTTTTAATATTATTTTATTGTAATTTGTAGTAGTAACCCCGAAAAGCTTTTATTACTCAATGTAAACAATCATAGTGCACATGTGCTGCTGTGCATTGTTTTGAAAAAGTACTTTTAATCTCAACTATGCAATTTCAATGATTAAAGTGCTTACCTTGACTTCATCTACAACAAAGTTTTGGGACACTAATACGAACATTTCAGGATGATTATCTGTTCACATAATTAATAGACAATCTAAAAGACAATTTCACGAATTTTAACATTCACAGCCATGTTTGTTTACAAGCCAGTCGTTGCTAACGTGCTAAGAATCATTGGTCACAAGGTACTGTCACGTGACTATTGACTTGACCGTAGAGTAAGTTGTGTGTCAGGAGTTTGTACGCAGGTTGTGGATAAATTTTGTGCTTAAATAAATTATTTTCAATTCACTATTAACTACGCTGTGATACTTCCTCAACAATGATTTTAATGCCAAAGGAATCCGCAAAATTAATAGATTTTTGTTCTAAGGATGTTTCCGTTGAAGAAGAAGGAATCAAAAATCTTGCCTATGCGGTAAATAACTTTTCACTATTGTTCAAATCTTTTTCATAAATTTGTTGTAATATATTTAAAAAATTAATTATGAAATTATATCATAAATAGTGCTTGAACTTTTTTGTTGCACATTTTTAACTAACTAAGAAATGAGATAAAGAATTTTAGGATATGATTGATCACATATAAACTAATCAATATTCTTTTTTTACAGGTTTTTGAAGCCCTTAACGATCGCAAAATAAGTGTGAACAATTTTTCACAATGTCAGTTTCACCCTTCTCCCGATGATCTAAAGGCAGTCGATTGGATATTTGTCTTGGACACATTGAATTATTCCTTTTGGAGTAAAACAAATTGTCCAAAGTGGACTGTTAATGGCCAGACTGGGTATTTTGCCTTGTGTGCTGCTATTAAGAGAGCTGTAGATGTGAGTTAAAAAGTATATAAAATTATAAACATTATCTTTAGAAGGAAAGTTAAACTATAAAAAATTTAGTTTTAGGAAGATTATCTGTCTTTTATCATGTAATATGTTTTTCACGATCTTTAATTGCTTGACATGTGCACTTTTCTTTTGGTTCAGAAATTATTGATTCTTCTATAGTTTCTGTTTTTGATGAAGGTATAGATTCAGTGAATGGGTCTAATTCAGATTTTGTATCTGATTGAGTATCTTTCTTCTTTTTTACTTTTTTCCTTTTCTTTTGTTTTTTTCTTCTTTTTCCAACACTTTCAATTTTACGTGCTTCCTTTTTCTCCATCCTTGCTGAGATTTTCCTCTTTTTCTGTTTCATTTTTTGCTTTAATTTATCTTTGCTTAGAGCCTTTTCTTCATTCCTTTTCTTTTCTTTCTGAAGCGTTTTCTGTATCTGAAACGATACTATATTTTATACCAGACAAACCTTGATATCAATATTGTTTTTTATTGATTATATAGTTTGCAGTCTTAATAACAGATAATAGAAATTTTCTTACTTTATCTTGTTTTATTAGCTTAGCTGCATCCTTTTTATCACTTTCCACAAATGATGTTTCATCCTAAAATTGAAATTAAAACTGTAATGTCACATTCATATTTGAGATGATTTTATATTAAATTCATATAAAATACTTCATCATCATCGAAATATTTTTCACAGCAAATGCGTTCTCTACTTCCAGGCAAGTGCCTAGCCAAATAACATCTTATATACATTTTTACATCTTCAAAAAGTCCTATAAATAAAACATTAAATTTTATCGATCTGTGAGCATACATTTTTATGAAATTCAGTAACACATACTTTTCATTCTTTCTGTTTCTCTGTCTACCTTTTCTTGGTATGCATCTATAAATTTACTCCTTTGATCTTCTATGCATTGCAATAGAAACTGTTCCTTTTCAATTTGTTTCTTTTGAAATTCTAATCTTTCTTCCCATCTATATAGCATAAATAAAAAAGTCTTATTTTTCTAACACAAAGTACTTTATGAATTTCATATATACTTCAGTTCTACGATCTTGCGTTTTTCTTCTTGTTCGTGCGCTAATCGCATTTCTCTCATTTTCTTTCGTATACGTTCCTTCCTGTTCCATTCCAAAAGAGTTTGAATTATCTTTTGCCTTCGAATATCTGTTGCTGCCATTTGTTTCTGCTGAATTATTTCTGCATGAGCTTTGCTTTTAATATACCGCATTTGTTGAGTTTCTTTCTTTTTCTGAGCCAATGCTTGTAACCTTTCATCAATTTTCCTTTGTTTCTCTTTCTGCTTTTGCAGCTTCATTTTCTCAGCCATCTTTCTTTGCATGATCGCGGACTTTCGTAACTCCATTAATCTTTCTCTTTCTCTCAATCTAACAGAACGTTTTTATGCGATACCATTCTCAGACAATAGTTTCTTATATATAATTCAACACGTATCTGGTCTGAAAGAACAATGGCGCACAGTGATGCAAGAAAGTAATTTTCCAGGAGACGAAACAGATCAATTTCATTTAATTATATCTATAATTAAGTATCGTGGATTCTTACTATAATATAACTAAAATATTATTAACGTATGTAGCTGAAATTTTTTAATTTTGCAGTTATGTCATTGTTCTTCAGGATTAGCGATATTTACTCGGTGGTTACCTCTTCACTTCTTTCTCAGCCTGTTCTTGAGCATACAAGATCGCTCTCTCCTCGATGGATTGTTTCGTTCTTCTATTCAATTCCTTCTTTATGCTATCACAGTGCAGTCTTCTTAGATACCTTCTGTACATATTGTAATCTTTCAGAGAACATTTTGCGTCTAAATTTTTAGTAACGAAGCCAGATTTGATCAAATGCCGAATGATATTCGGTTTGGAGAAGTGAGGAAGCAAATGTTTATCGTGGAGGGAGTCGTAAGTCCATTGTATCTCGTAGCCGTATGGATCGCTTAAATTAAACTCCGCATCCGGCGTGGAGATCCATAGTTCCTCGCCAAGCTTACGACGCGTGAAATTGTAAACACCCTCCGGTCCGGGAACCATTGGGATTTTCGACTCTAACGGCATTACTTTCCATTTTGGTAGTCCAAATTCTGGTACCGCGCCTTTGGGCTTAGGAATCGAATCGAACAGCTTGTCCAGAGCCCTATTTTATATACGCAAACAATTCAATATGAATAAAAATTAAGGGAGATCGAGCTGCAATAAGGAGGAAGTTCCACTTTTCAGTAATTTGAGTGAACCAACAAAAAGTAACTAAAGATCAAGTACTTCTGCGAAATTCATGGTCAATTAATAATACTCGTAGTAATAAATCTTTGCATCTTTGAATATGAAAACCACAGGGGAAGAACACCACAAGCCATATCTTTCGTTTTTTATATGAGAGTAATTTTAATAATTTTAACCTTTAAATAATATCAACATCAGAAAATCAACAAAATTGTACTTATCATATTTTTCCTCTCATAATATTCATATGAAATTTATATTTTTCTTTCTTTTTCAATCCAAACAATTTAAATGTTTGAGCTGTCTCCTTGTTGCTGCAAATCCCGCAATTGATATTATATTCAAGAGTCACGTGTACTCACGTGGGTCTTTTGAGACCAATTATGTCGGTCGAATATTGTTTACACGCGGGGTTCATCTTAAGAAGCTTAGCCTTAAGAAGCAACGTTTCTGACTTGACGTGTCCTCAGAAATTTGACCGTCAATAACATTTTGTGGTTACATGGAAATTTTGCATGTAATATAGGTAAAATGTCATGTTCCGACGTTTTCCACATCTACACGTCTAGCTTCTTTTGTTCGCAAACCGTTTGTCCTGGTCGTTTCAAAAATACTTCAACACGTTGGTGTCTGTGTTGTTTCGAAAGTTACACGATTGTTGAAATTCTACCAATAGCTACGCCATACTTTTTTTTTCTTTTTTTTCAAACAATTTACTTCGAACAGGAGGGGAAACCTATAGTCGACCCCAAGTATTATTCTCAAATAACGAGATCTGAAGCTGAGCATATTTTTCGTGGCGATACTGAAACTAGTATCCCGCTGTTAGACGAAAGAGTTAAATCCTTGAGAGATGCCGGAAAGGTTTTGTTAGAAAAGTATCAAGGTACATGATTGAAATCCCTTTCTTTTCTTCAGATCATAGTTTTGCTTATTAAGTTTATATATAATAAAGGAATCTGGTGCAAAACTTTACCGATCTTTGTTGAAGCAGAAATTAGATTTTCGTAATTAGACGAGCTTATTTCTTTTGTAAATTTCTAATAAATCTTGAAAGAGTGTAAAGTTATACACTAGACTACCAAACTATTTTACACACATGTGATAAATCACATTTGGAATTGAATTTTAACATCCAATTCTTAAAAACATTGTATCAATTTCTTTCTCTTTCTAGGTACTTTTACTAACTGTGTGAAATCGTGTTCGCGTTCAGCCGAAAAATTGCTGAAATGTATCGTGGAAGAATTTGAGTCTTATCGAGATGAGGCAGACTACAGAATTCACAAAGGTAACGATATTATTGTTAGTTCTATGAAAGAGAATTATTTCCAAAAGCAAATGTAATAACAGAGTGTTTGTCTTCCAGTTAGCTTCTACAAGCGGGCACAAATACTGATAGGCGACATATGGGCCTGTTTCAAGGGACAGGGAATTGGTGAATTTGAAGACATAGACTGCATCACGATGTTCGCTGATTATCGTATTCCGCAAGTTCTACTACACTTTGGTGCTATTCGTTATAGTAATACTCTTCTGAGCAGACTACAGTCTGGTGAGTCTATTGCACAGTTTTTAAATCAAATTCTACATTGTTATATTTTAGAAGGTTTTTAGATACTTTTTTCTATATTAATTTGATTATAAATGACTTGTCTTTTTCATATTTTTTGTATACATAATGTCGCTTTGATATCAGTGTTCAACCAACCACGGTATAAATAGAGTCATTAGAGTTAAGTGGCAGGGTTTCCCTATTAGATAGCACAGTATTTAATATTGCAGATATAGAATTAGAAAACGGTAGCGAAGACGAGATCGAAATTCGAGGTTGCTCTATAGAGGTTATCGAACGGGTCAAGGATGAAGTGAGAACTCTAATCGGGCGCTACCCTAATCTAGCGTTAAAAAAATCAGACATTAACGCTATATTGATCGATCATTTTCTATGGGATTATCGGCGAGAACACGCCGCTGAATTAGAAAGTATACCGTTCCATAAAACTAGATGCATATATTACTGAGCATATCACGTGCCTCGTAATTAGTATTTAAAGAAAAAACTTTGAAAATTGCCTATCACGCGTATAATAATTTTACAAATTACATATCTAAATATACGATGTGTATGGCTGTCTCATTTTACAGCTCTTCAACAAAAAGTAGTATTTTTATAATTATGAAAGATGCTGACAGAATACATATACTGATTTTATAGTTATACAGACACTTATGTACGTGCACGTATTCAAATAAAATACTCATCATGTTTTAGGAGGTTTTTAAATAATTTCTTCTAAATGATTTCCGTGGTTCTTTCCTGATCCATCGTCTCGATGATCCCTAGTCCGTCCCTTTTAAAAATGAAAGGTAAAAAGCTTTGGTAATCTTTTTTACATAATAAACAGTATATTTATATAATATCGATATAGCACAGTTTCTAACGTACAGATAACGTAAAGTTAAATCCATACAAATTTTGATATTTTTATTGAAGTACTTTCGTTGCCCACCGATTTTCATAATTCGTATATACACAGATACATATTTAGACGTTAATAAATAATAAATAGTAATGTCGTATATGGGAACACTATATGGTAGATTTATATATAAAACTTTGTGACTATGATTAAGAGTTCCTTCTTATATACAGAAAACAATTTCGACAGTTCGACTATGTTCCGGCGACGTGTATTTACAAATTGATCGTAGAATATTACGAACGCGTAAAATTTAGCTGGTCGTTTCGTAGTTTCCAAAATGTTTGCTATTTAGAAAGTTACGTTCAAATTGCTCGCATGTTTCGAAAGGACCACGCAAAAAATATTTTCTTTGGCTAATCACGGGTTCATATCATTTGGCACACACAATCACATCGACATTTCCTGTCGCGAATGCAATTGCTCTTGTAAATCGATCGATCGTTGAGCCTGTATTGTTTCATACAATTAATCGACTCTTTCGTTGAACGGCGTTGAAACATTCTTACGTTGAGCAAGGATGCTAACTTGTTCTACTTCTTCTAGCTTCTCGATAAAATTCTGTTTCTCGGAAATAATTTCTATCGCACTCTATAAAAAAGAAGACCAAGTTATCTGGATTTTTTACATCCTTTATCTAGACGCTTTGCATGTAATATGTTAATTTAATTTGATCCCTAAGTGAACATTCAACTTCTCTTTCGGTTTCCTTTTTAAGACTTCGGGCCCAATTTTACATAAACTTGCTTTAACTCTTTCTCTGCATCTGTTCCCAAAATATTATATTCGACTTTAATTTTCCAGGTAGAATTACGTTCGTGTCGTTGGACACGTCGCTCTTCCCTTGCACTACTTCCGTTTGGCTTTCCGTTATATTAGGTTGCTCCATAACGACGTGACTAGCCGGAGGTGAAGTTACTTTGTTCGGAATTTGCCTCAGGCCTTCTCGAAATTGTTTCGAAAGCGATCTGGCAGTCAGACTGTGCATCTGTCTTGGCGTTTCAACTATTTGGATCTCTGGTGTTGACGATCTCTCCTTATTCGCGTTGCTCGATTTAGTTATCTAAATAGAATAGATAAGAAACAGTCAAAATCATTTCTGATTACTTCATTGACTTCTATACGATCTCTTGTAACTGGTTGTGAAAAGTGTTTGCAATAATTTGTGATCATATATCGTAACTAAAGTCTCCTTTAGATATATTTGTATAAATGAGGATGCATCGTAAATTTATATTTTTGTGAACATAATTAAAGAAATGGAACCTTGAAAAATTTGTTCCTCTAAATATCATGACGTATACCTACTATTATACTCTGTATACTTTATATATTTTTGCGTATTCTCGTCTCCTAATTTTGTATAAATCCGTAATATCTTTAGTCTACATATATCATAAACAATGCATCGCTGAAAATGAAGCGCCCTATACTAAAATTAGATAATTAGAATGCTATAAAAAGAAAGATCTGAAGCTTCATATCTTTAAAGCTATTCAACGTATATAATGTCTTACTTATATCAGAAATCTACATGCTACCAGCATCTTGCAAAATTACAGTCAAGGTTGACCAATTGGTATCTTTCTTTTATTAGACTTCTTTTTGTAACACTCTGCATATCGATCATTCAAGAATCCATTCTTACCTTCGAGATGGGTCCAGGAACGGGTTCGGTCTGTTTGCTAAACGCTTCAGCGAGCCTCCTGACCGATGGCATCGGCAGCACCTTATTATCAAATTCCTCTTCGCTCAGACTTTTCTTCTTGAGGTCACTCATCGATTGGTGACTCTGTTCCCTCTCAAAGGAATTATCCGTTTCATTTTCCGAATCGTCGACCGAAGAATCGTTACTCTTAATGTTACACTTCTCCAAACTATAATTATTCGCGATGTTTCTCACCGATCCTTTTTTAACCATTCCAAATTCGTTGTACGAATTCTGATTATAGCTTTCTACCTCCTCATCTTCTTGGCTATTCGGATTCGAATAGAATTTGGCGATGTTCGGCACCGATTTCGCTGACTTTAATCCAAAATCGTTGTAACTCTCGTTCTCATACTTGTTCAAGGTTTCTGTGCTCTGTGTCAAGTTGTTATCGCCAGAAGCACGGTTGCTTTCGATCACATCGCCACGGTCATTCTCATAATCGTTTCTCCGTGTTAAGTTCGATTTGTTCGACGTTCTGGTTAACCTTGGCTTGAATTCGTCATTACCTATGCTATTCAATTGAATCGTCGATTGTGTTCGTCGAATTCCATTATCGTAACCAAAAGACTTAAGATCCAATTTATTGACCACTCTAGGCGTGGAAGTTTTAGCCGTTTTATTAGAGAATTCATTTTCGAATCCATAAGCCTTCAAGTCGATCCTCTTGATCTTGCGTGGATTTTCATCGGAATTGGACTTTTTCGTTTCTATAACGGCGTTCTCATAATTTTCCTGATTATTCAGTTTCGCGTTGATTTCATTCTTGCTATTTTTCCTCTCGTTTTCCAGAATTTCTTCCATTCGTTGGTCTTCCCACGACATCTGCGACTCGATTTTCGAGAACCTGTCTTTGTCTCTCTCCGCCTCGTCTGAAGAGTCATTTTGTCGAACAGGTTGTTGATATTTGCCCTCCACGTTGTTATTCTGCCATTTCGCCACCTTGGATTTCACGTCGTTGCTTCGATTCAGGATCGTCTCCGTTTCTCTGTATTGTATTTCCTCCTGAAACAGAAAATAGCTCAGTTGAATTAAACCATCCAATATCGGGCGCGCGTTTTAGTTCACAAAATGTTTCGATGTGGCTTTTGCAGCTGTTAGTAACGTTTTTACACCTAAGATTAGTTTAATGTAAGCTTCGCGTATGTACGTATATAGCCATGCATATTACACCCAATAAATCTTATCGAGAAAATTAGAAGTTGTTAGTTGTGATCAAACACCTTATAACGGAGAATGGCACCAAAGATTTTTACGTAGCATTTATTTTTCTTTTTTTTTTCGGTTCAATGATTTCTGATAAAAGCTTCTGTCGATCATAGAGCATGCAGACCTTTATCGTTTGTTAGTCGACATGCATTGAATTGGAAATGCATGTAAACGGTACTTACCGATCGGAAAAGGCATTTTTCGCAGCGATCATGCATGTGCAATGTGCATAGAACGACTTCGTATTAACAGAATGTTCTCGGTCACATGTTTTATTATTTTTATTATTTTTAAGCCGCCTCTTTTACGATCTACGTGTACTATATACAAGAAAGAACGATTGTTTTGTATTATACAAGGCTGATACATTACCGCGTGCGATCTACAAGGAAGAGTCAGGAAAATTTTATTTACAGTTTGCTTACAGAGCATACTAATTTTTCTGTTATACCACAATTGAAACTAATAAAGATGGCATTTAAGTAGTCATAGAATCTTCGAATTTGCTACGCGAGGATTAATCGTAGGGACAAATACCTACACCGTTATAGTGTCATGCACACTTCAAGTAAAGTCACATTTCTCATTATTCGTTACGCTCATTAGAAACAATATATTTATAACAGTTACAATATACACTCCTTTGTACAATAAACTTCTTCTTTATAATCTATCGGTGAAAAATAGAATTCGCATCTTTGATACGTTTTGGACACTTTTCGAGGAACTTTTAGTTGACTATATGGCACTATATACGATAAAATAAAAAAAGGCATTTCTTTAAAAAAAAGAAATATTAACTTCTATACGCGTGAAACAGTTTAAATTCCTCAACGGGAGCCAATTTAAGTAACTATTTTCACCATATCGTCAGATCGGTCAAACACCTCACACCAGTCTTTTTTTGGTTGTTCGATTCGGAACTTTTGCTCTTCTTTTTCTTCCCTTTGCTTCGAAGATCTTTTAAAGTTTCGAAAGTTTTTTCGACCATCTCCGGCACGATAGGTGGCTCCAACTTCAAACTTTCGCTATCGTCCGACAATCGTTTCTGCGATCGAACTCTTCTCAAACTATCGTTGAACACCTTCCTTCTGGACGTATTGAAAAAGTAATTAGAATCGTTATCCGGATTCGGTCGTAATTTGATTTTCTTGGGCGTGTCCCTTAGACATTTTCGCATTATCAGTTTGTCAGGCGATTGAACATCTTCGTCTTGCCAGGATTCGTCCGAGGACGATCTATACGACGAAAACACCGTCTTAATTCGTTTCTTGTAGAACTTGTTATTGCGCTTTCTCTTCGTATTTATATTAAGGTACTTCATCGTATCTCTCTCCTCGGGACTGTCACTTTCGTAATCGCTCTGTCTATCAGACTCCTGATCGATTTTTTCGTTCGACGCATTATTTATTCCATTCATGCGCTGTAAGGTAGAATCGCTTTGAGACGACCTCATTCCTTTGGTATTTTTACAATTCCTTATACACGATCTTAATATCATTTTTCTATACATGGGAATTCCTTTACCGTCGATCTTCTTGCCCTTCTTTATACCGCCAAACGTCTGAAACTTGAATTTACTGAAATCCGTGATATCGAAGGGCTCGTCGTCACGTGTCTCCATTTTCAAGTTATCCTCCGCGTCAGAATCTTCCACGCTTTTATCAAGAGAGTTCTTTATTCCTCCGAATGTGTGATACTTGTAGCCATTAAGGTTCCAGTACCTCCTTCCATTGAACGACAGAATCTGATCGTTTCTCGGATGATCCTGATTGTCATTGATCCATAGTCTCCAAAACTCCTCACTTTGCTTCTTATTATCCTCCATGGGGTTCATATCGACCGAGAACATTCCTGAGTCATCTGACTTCAGGATACTTTTCTCGGGTTCGTAGAGCGGATTGTAAGCGACTTTTTGCGAAAAGTCACTCGACATAAGTTTTAAAATATCATTGTCAGTGCCAAGAGATTTAGCATCTTGCCCATCGATATCAAAATATTTAGTTTCCTTCTCTATGACCGCTTCGTACTTGTCAATATGTTCTTTATTCTTTGTCATATTTTTCGAATATCCTATACCGTTTGGAACATCGTTTCCCGTAGAGTTTTCGTTAGAGCCGTTGATTTTTTCGTGATCACGATCAGTTGGTTCTGTTGATACATCGAGTTCCAAACGTAGAAGAGGGTTGATGGCAAATTGCGGACTGGAGTACGGATCGCGATAGGTCCATCTAGAAAGGCTGCCACGCAGGGAAGCCTCCTCGAACTTTTCGAGCTGGAAACTCACCTGTTGATCCTGGTCCGCCATTCCGTTGGAACTTGATCGTTGAGACAACGAGCTGCTCGGTCTGCTCGAGGTCGACGCCGTCGATCTTCTCCCTTTCTCGTTACCCGACGCTCTTGAATCGTTGATGTAATAGTCCCTGCCGAACCTACGCATTCCAGGCATTTATATAATTAGCTAGTTCATTAACCATTTCTTGATGGGTTAAAAATTGTTAAATCCCGATAATTCTGTCAAGATTATTGATTTCATGCAGGAAGATCCCTCCTAAAGGATTCTTTTTTCTTTGAACTACGAGTATGTATTTGCGTGTTTTAGAAATTTTGTACATCGGATAAAGCTTCTTTGTGCGATGGATTGCCCGATATATGATCTCTATTTATCATAGATTTCTTTATTCGTATTTTATTTGCGAAACAAAATATTTGTAGTTTCTGGAAATTTCACGTACAGAACAAAGCTTTGAATTCCTATTGCAGTCATATGTTATGCTATTATATACGGCGTCTATTTATTACAGACAGCTATTATTGAAAGGTTAAGTTAGTTTCTAATTTTGGATGAAAGATGAAAATTTAGATATCTGTAGGTCTTTTTCACATAATTTCGAATATCACCTTTTGATATCCGGTTCATGGGGCGCCAGCACGACATCCATATCCGCACCGTTGCTCTTTGGCAATTCGGTGTGAATTCTGAAGGAAAATATTACCCGTAGAATATTAGTCTTATTAAATTCGCATATGAAGATAAGATTATTATAAATCGTACCCAGGAATGTCTGACGATCTTCTAGAGTACTGCCTCTCCAAAAGCCTCTTTTGAATGTTTTCCTGGCTATAGGGGTTGTTCTCGATAGGTGGTGCATTTTCCCACTTTTTGTGCTCGCGTTCAGCAATTGTACCTATTTTTTTTTATTGCAAACAAGTAACATTTGAAACAACGTCTTTAATTATATCGACAGATACATTGACTCTGAATCTCTAAAAAATTACGACGAGGATTGAGATTGTAAAAAAAATAAAACTGTTAAAAATTGATCACCTGGTCTTGGAGGAGTACCTAGCCGACCCTCTTCCTCCGCATCCTTGTTCTGCAGGGACAGATGCGAAGCCGATTCGGCTTTGGCAAACGCCACAGCCTGTCGGCACTTACTGCACAGTGGAATATTGAAAGATTGTTATAGTATCATCGGTAAGAAGAAAGTTCTTTACGGCGCTCCGCAGACCGTTGAACGGTGACGTTACGAAACGAACCTAGTTTCGATACTTTCGACGCGAGACAATCGAGAAATCTCGAATTTTACTCTTTTATATTCCGTTAAAAATTTCTTTTTCGTTCATTTACAAGAACAGATAATTTTGTCAAAAGTTATAATGTTCATTTTAAGCTCGATAAATATATTTTAAAGGCTATCATAAGTGAAAGTTCATAAGTGAAATTAATAAAGATAAACGAGCTGAGTTAAATGTTTTATCGTCATTCAATACTAGATGAAGAGTCGTAGTGGTTACAAATGATAATACTGGTATTGATATTACCTTTCGTCATCCTCTATCGAGGAATTCGTTAATGGCGAAGACTCGAATGATTCGGACTTCGTCAAGCTATCCAAATGTCTCTGAGTCGCGATATCGTAATGTTCGGTGTATTCGCTTTCCTGTTGAATATCTTCGGCTAATGTTCACGAACAAAAGTGAAATGAGTGGCAATCATAAGCTCATAAACTCTTACAACAGGTGACTACGTTGCTAAAATATTTACCATGAAAGTCGACTTTTTGCTGAGCAAACATCGTTTCCTCGTCTTCGAATGCTTCCACACTGTCGTCATTGACGGCCATCAGTTTTTTCTTCGCGCATTCCAAGGAATTCAGAACGATCTTCTCCTGCGAGATGTACGTTTTCTCGCTGTGAGGATTTCCCAGACTAATTTCCATGGAAATCCTCGTCGGCGTGGGTGTCGGTGTCTTTGGCACGTTTAGCTCGCTTTCATCGGGCAGAATAACCGTCAAAGGCTTCGAATTAACAGAATTTGATAGATTATCCGATTCACTTTTCTTCGCCGATCGATCTACTTTAATGAAATCGTCCCCGTTGATTAAATTTCTTATTTTATCCTCTTCGGATACCTCGTTCGTTTTCTGTCGCTCCATTCCTACCTTCTTCAAGCCGTTGCTAATTACATTTATTGATTCTGAAACAGGTTTCTCATCCTCAGTTTCGACTCTCTCCAATTTTCTTTTCACTTCCTTCTCCTTAATCTCTTTGGCTTTCACTTCTTCGTTTCCCTTTACACTTTGTTTATAATCTTCTTCTTTTTCCCTCCGTTTCTCTGCTTTCCTTTGGTCTTTCACGCGTCTACAGTCAGTCTTTTCCTCATCAGATACGTATACGTGTCCGCCATTGGAAAATGAATTCGTATCATCCACCTTCAACGAAAAGTCGTCTGACGAATTCAAGTAGTCCAGACCATTCTCGAACTCCTTTTTCTTCGGAGATCGTGGCACGACACTGCTTATGGCTTCCATTAATTCTTTCTCTATCTCTTCGTCTGACTGTGCCGATGAACACTCGGACAAATCGGATGTGTCTTCCGCGTCCTTGTCACCGATTAAAGCCTTGAAATCGGCGCTAGGATTAGGCACCAACATGGCCACAGGATCAGCCTGGCTTTGAACTCTCTTCTTTTGGAACAGCCAATTCTCTTCCCACGATTCGATCGGAGAAACTAAACCTATGTGCGTGGTCGTCGTATCTGGATCGTCTTGACTGTCCTCCGATTCTTGACAAGCTATGGTAATAAAAATTAGGTAATTAGAAAATAATAACAATGGGACTAATGTTGGATTTCAGGTTCCATCAAGCGTAGAATAAAATAATATAAAGAATAATTCTCGCTACAACATTTCTTTTCGCACAAGACCTCTCGTCTTCTACTTATTACCACGTTTTTTAACGATTGTTGTCTTCTTACGTTGCACCACACATTCTAGTCCACTCGTGCTTTCTCCGAATTGCTGCTCACTCGCTATCGGTCTAACGCGAACAATTCGCTTGTTCCTCAGTTACTCGTCTTTCACACGTATTTTCACTGCCGCCACAAATTTTAAATTACAATAAATTACAATAAATTGTAGTTCGATTTTAACATATAACACGATTTGAATAACCACTGGCAACGTCCTAATACAACTGATCGGAATATCCAACGACAAACTCAATTGTGTTATACCGCTTTTACACCATCAGCAGAAATATTACACACGCAAATGTCATTGCTATCTGTGTGTATCAAATTCCTAAAGGTGAACGACCATAAGAATAAAAATTTCAATAAAACATAAGCAATGGAATTGGATGAACGACACGTGGATAAGCAGCACTTACGATCGATAATGTCCATTCCAAGTTCAGGAAACGGAACTCGATGGGCGTTCTTAATGGGCAAGACGTCGTGTTCCCTATGATCCTCGTCGGACGCATAAGTTGTCGTCACTTCCTCAATTCTTTCCTCTATCTGAAACGATCAAACACACGTGTCATTAATAAATCGTAGGAAACGACCTCGATAAAGTCTGTTTATAGCTTTTCGTGTTTTGTTTATTTCATTTTTTTTTCTCTTATTGGTTGGGACCGGCGTGCGTATTTCAAAGTGGGACAACGGTTCCACTTCCGTTGCTTATCATTCGCGAGTAACACGCTTATCGACCGAGAATCACCCAAGAACCTACAAACCTAGTCGCGAAATTACACGAAACGGTTCATTTTTCCAATCGTAATTTTTCATATCATGTGCTAGATCTAAAATTCAGACATGTCCTCGTTACTTGGCTCTCATGGTTATTTATGCTGCTGTGATTGTTTTCAAATCGAGTTCGTTAATCTGTGGTTCAAAGTTTCGATATTTAAATTATTTATTTATTTATTTAAACTACGTTCGTTGGACAAGAGGAATAGGCATAGGCTTCACATTAAACAATGCAAAAGTTACTACAAATATTGGTCGACTATGAATTTATAACATTTGGCTTGTTTAAAAAGATGATTTAAAAAGTTTGATTTTGAGTTGGGCTATGCTGGCTTATTGAAATTACTGGAAAGTTTCCATATTGGCCATGCTGCTCCAATGAACTTTTCCTATTGTTTCGAAATCAAGATACTCAATACAAGTCGAAAGACTCAGTAGGGATCGTATCTACATATTTCCTCGGAAGAGTTCTCGTTTCTTTCGCAAATTCTTCGACGTTCCGTCAAGGTCATAAGCGACGTTCGCCATAAAAGGATCGCTTACCGTGAGAGATAATGGCTCCGGTTGGTTTCTAACGCGTCTCGAGCAAGACGCACTGCAGTCACTGCTACAATCATCCTGAGACAGTGGTTCCAGGCTGCTACAGCCTTCTTCTACACCTTCGTCGAGACCTGCCTCATTTTCGCCTGAAATACGAAGAAGCATTCTCTTTTGAATTGCTTTCATCCTCTTTCCTACATTTTCTTTGCTTAATCATTTAACATTAGAACTGCCGACTCGTGTTGTACATCTAATATACCATATACATGGATGATTATAATTAATCATGCCACATCTCAATCTCAATAGTGACATACTCCATTATTATGTTTCTATATCATTAAATGTTAGCATTAATTTTATGAAAACCACATCTTCCCGTATACTAATTGCACAAAAAGCAACCCGAAATCCATCGTTTGTGTTTAATTATTTCTTCTATTCTTATTTATTCTTTTCATACAAGATCAAAGGAACGTACTTAACGCACACTTAGCGGACACTGGTTTTCCTGGGAGAACGTTGCTATTGCCGTCCACCTGTTCCTTTTGGAATTTCTCGATGACCTAGAAAATCCAACGTTCGCTCATCGATTTATCCTCTCTCGCTCGATCCACGAGCGAATACCAGGAATTCCATGAACGGAGCCCAAACACCTCGAGGGAATGCCCCCTCGAGAGAGATCAGACTCCGAGAAATGAATATTTGTAACCTTGTTGAGTATCGCGGTGGCGAGTATATCCTCGTAACTGTCCTCCACGACGTTCCGTGCCTCTGGAACACTTCCGGACACACCGGAACCACCGAGGCCCGGCAACTTCCTCGCTTCTTCCACGGCACGCTCCACGATCTCGCGCAGCGCCGTGTGCGCCATCGTTGGCGAATCCGTGTTTGGTTTGTCTGCGAATTTTTGTAATATCGATTTTTGCGTTGTACGTTACAGTAGGGTTTATTTGTTAGCTGTTAAGTTTGTTGGTTGTGAATAAGTTTCCTGTGAAAGTGTTTGGGAACGTTTAAAGGGTTTTATGGCAGACGTTTCGTTTTCTTTCGGGTATTTAGATTCTTTGGGTCTTGATAGGTTTCTTGCGGAAGTTTTGGGCACATTTGGAAAATCTTATGGTAGATGTTGTATAGAGTTTCAATGTGAATTTGTAAGATTACGATAAGTTTATTTATGAAATATATGCACGCGTAATGTATTTATGACGTGTTTGGGGACATTTTGTGGTAGATGTTGCGTGGTCTTTGTTCCAGTGTAAAATTGTAAGATCCTGGTGGATCCTTCGTTTCGATAGGTACTAAAGATTTTTGCGAATATTTGAAGAAATTTGTGATAGCATTGCACTGTGTTTATTCTAGTTCAAGTAAAGGTATTTGTCTCTGTGTGAAATTTTGCTTCTCGCTAGCTTCTCGGCATTTTTTTAAACGCGTGAAGATTGCCGTGGTAAAGCCGTCCTACTTTAAATTGAAATATTCCCGTTCGTGAAATTTCCGAATCTTCCCATGTTTACTTACGGCGTGACAAAGTGTTGGACGATAAAAATACTCGCGTCAATATGAACTCTTCAAAACTATCGAAGAAGTCATTCAACTTAAAATTACCATTTCAATATCTGTCATCGTCAAAAGAATTCCTGACAGAAACAAATTCTTGAAAATCGCCTATTCATCCCTCCACGCTCATCAATCCATTCTTCTAATAACACCTTAATATCCACTACGTTCGTACGCGAATGTGGAAAAATGTAGCAAGACGTGCGAATATTAGAGAAAACTCTGATTATAAATTATCATAATTTATGAACATTAGAAATCTCTGAAAATCGATTTGAGGAGAAACCTTATCGAAAAGGAAATAGATGACGCGAAAGGGTTAACGAGCAAGGCAGGACAAGAAAAGCGGTACGATGGCGTACTTTCATCGACGCGGTAGCTACGGTATTGGTAATGGATCGAGCGATGAACGTCTCGTTTGGCCGCGTACGAACGACAAGCCAAGGTAATTTCACCGGTTCCCGGCCTTGTCAGCTATTCCTCATTCTTCTTTTGCCTGTCCGCGTGCGCGCGACCGAGAGAAATTCGACGGGGACGACCTGCTGAACTCTTTTCGCGGGAAACTTCGAGCTGTGACAGCGGGGACGCGTTCACTCAGAGGCACAGAGGATCCATACTGCATCTGTTCAACCGGTTAGATAGTTGCTATTGGTCGAGTTAATGTCTTGTTCGCTCTATTAACAGATACACGAAAGTATTTCAACACTCAGCACAGAAAACTTTTACGCACATAATTGCGTGTGTTCTATGAAACACGCAGTTTAAAATCTCATTAGCACTGACACAACTATGATCATTATATTGCTAATAAATTTAGATCCTTGGTTTGAAGATGTATATAGAAATTGGAAGATACTTATTGCAAACATACATTTGGTAAAGAATTAGTATAATAAATAGCCATTTCTGTGAATTATACTTGTACCAAATACCGTGTAATTTCTAATACATCTTCGGATTTCTTTGAAACTTGATCAATATCAGCATGGTAGTCGAGCCTCATAAAACTGCTAACGAAATTTCAAAATGTTTCACGTAACACCTTCAATACGTTAACAAAAGGTTCTTACAGGTATTCGAATACCTTCGTGAGCCTCTGTACAAGCTGAAGATAGAAGTTCGATCAAAGTTCTTTGAAACTATGAGGATTATGGGCGTTGAACAATCTTCCTTTAACTATTCACCTCTTTATACTTCGTTTAGCTTTATTTTACGTCTTCACACTTTCTAATTGTTTAGAGGACAGCTTCAAGTTCGTTTTAGTGATTCATCCACGCGATAATCTTGAAAGAAGCGTTTAATGGAGGATTAGTAATACGACAGGTTGTTCGTTGTTTCATGATTAATGCACGATTCTATTTGAGTTCCATTCGCGGTTTATTAACGGCGATTGAAGTCTAAATTTAGCGCTCAGGCTGATTTGCATCGGCTTGTACGAGCAGAAAGACTTTCCGCCAACTGTATTTCCCTGTATCAAACGCACAGATTCCGACGGTCGATGGGCTTTCTAACCCTGGTCTTTCGCTACAAGGTGAAGGTCGCCTACATTTATTTTCTGCCTACTTAACTATCACCGGTTCGTTCAACAATTTCCGCGGCTATTCATTAGCCTCACCATAGCGCGTGATCGCCTCTTAATTAATCGAATGCTACATTCTTCCCATTACTCGAGTATCATCCTGCAGTGAAATTCCATCGATAAATACACGTTCTTTCTCTGTTTTTCCTTTTTCCTCTCTTTATTTTATTTTTCTTGTTTCGTCGAACGAGTTATTCGAAAGCCACGCTGGATCGATTCTACAAATTAAAAGTAGACAGAGAAGACGATGTTGCAACTATTACAATTATACAGTTATCGTGACATCTTGCTGTAACGAATAAGCGTATGGATGCGAGTGTTTTGTTTCTTCACATATTAGGTATTAGCCGTGCGTTTACGTAACGCAATTAAGAAATTAATAAAAAGCGGAGTCGATCGGTTTGGCTTCTGAGAGGTTAAAGTGCAAACGTCATCGATGATAAAGACCATAAAAAGACCCATCCCCCTGTCTATTACTTCTCCATCGATGATATTTTCCTCCACGACCTTCGTAGCGCTTTTTCTTCACACTTTCAATCAATTCACTCGGTAATATTCATAAATTGACGCAAACGTAGTCCAGCCAGCGATAGAACTGAATATAAAAGAGCGCTGCCTTCGAAGGATGATCGTATCGATGATCGATTACGACCGTTCGCGTTTTTGCGAAACGCGCTGCCCATTATTCGTGGCGGTTCGCTTTGTTTTTCCGAACTTTCTAATGGGCGAGTCAGCGGGAGGGAATTTCGAAAGGGAACGAAATCGTTTCCACCCAGTTCGTAACGCTTCATTTCTGATTTGTGAAACGTCGAGCAAACGAAATCGCGCGACAATCGGCGAAATCGAGTCGCGATTCGAAAATGTGTACACCGCGAAACGCGTCTGACGCAACGAAATTATAGCGATTATCGACCTGGACGGGCGTAATCGCGGCGCAGAAAGGTTTCTCCCTGTGTCAAATTAACGTGCAACGCGATCGATCCAGGGAAATCGTGCCTCCTGCATGGTTGTTAATTTAATATTTCCCGAAACGACAATATTCGTGCTTTGAGCTTCGTGACTTTGTCTCTGGACTTTGCTATTGACGGATTTAGATTAAGAATTTAATACCATAAGCATGGTTTAAGAATTCTTCACGAAAATAGAACGAAACACGCGCTGATTATGATTATTTCGTTTAAGAGAGATTATCAAGTTTTCTACTTTAAGCTTAACTGATAAGATTACGATATAATAGAGTTGCCTATTGGTTGTACGAGAATAGCAATAGAAAGGTTTCTAGCAATCTAATATTTAAATTGTACTTGTTGGAAGAAAAATTGAGATTTCATAATCAATAGCGAAAGAAAATACATGTTTCATATTCAAAAGTACGGCAGTTACTACGAATATTAATTGTATATAATACTACGTATGTAATTGTATATAATAATACTACGAATAAAAAAATAATTTGGCTTGATTAATCTCGTATTGGTTTCTTTAAATTACTGAAAAGCTGGGCTATCTACTTGTTGCAGCAATCCTTTCAATTTTGATATTCAGGTTTTATCAGTAAATTACGCATATTCCTGCAAGTTGACGATTCTATGTGAACAACAAAACGAAGAGATAGAACCTGAATAAAGATTCGTTTCGCTTGCTTAAATATTATAAATTACGTAATGAATATGTCGCTTTGAATATCTTCTTGAATATCGAACATTATATACCTACTCTTGAATATTATAATATGTGCATAAAAATTGTTTATATCTTTATGATTTACGTCAATGCATAAACACGCACATCTTTTTCATAACAGCGAGGAATCGGGGATTTGGAAGACTGGTTTCTTCGTTATTTTTCCATAATTACTTTCGAATTTAATCTTGAAGATGCGAGAAAAATATTCTTTACTATTCCATTATGAAGTATTTTCCGACAGACGCGAACCAAGCAAGTTGCGAAGGATTTTTTAAATCTAAATCACGCTCGACCTCGTGATCTGTAGGTCGTTGAGTAAACCTGAATCGTTGGAGATAAAAATATCGAAAGGGAGGGTAAAGAGGTTCGACGAGCAAGAGAAAATTATTCGAAATGGAAGAATCATACCATTCCTCTGGTGATACTATTCGTGATAATCTTGCGACCTTATTGAAGTCGAAAGACGTGTTATCGTGGCGGCAGCTCTGTCAGTTGTTCCTTTGAATCGATCGCAATCGAATAATCGAATCGGTGACAATAACGCACCGATTGTCACCAGCGAGAAATTGTATGGAATTTTTTTTCGTAAACTATATTATCTATGTGACAACTATGTGAGTACGCAGAATGCAGGTAGAACATTTATTTACAGAGAAGATATTTATCTCGAAGGAATTTACGAAGAAAGAACTACAACGATGAGAGTAGAACGAGAAGTCGGGAATGTTAAATAAATTCTTTCTATAAATTTTCCACAAACTCTATTATTTACATGTACGGACATGACAGTGTACATACACGTAATATAAATATAGAATTTCTGTAACAAGACGCGTATTTATTTAAAAGAAAGAATTACGACACTGAATGGAGAACGAATCATCAAGAAGGACACTAAATAAATTCTTTTATGTTATTTACGCTTACCAAGATGACAATACGGGCACACGCAACATAGATATAAAATCTATTTAAAAAGAGAAATTACAACAATAGGCTGCGCCAAGCCATCAAGAAGAACGAACGCCTGTTTCGAAATGTGTCGGAGGATGATTTTTCTCGGCTTCTCTTCATGTTTCCTTTACGAAACATCGTAAAATATTATTACAAAATGTCCTGCGAAATTGTCAAAGAGGAGAGGAGGCAGATCCTCTTCGTGACAGATTATTACGTGCAATCGAGGAACCGTGCCAGGGACACGCGAATAGTTGGTCGGTGACAATTTGCAATAACCGCGGCGAATCTGTGCCGATGATGCTGCTTTCACGAATGCAAACTGGATCGAAATTTTATAACCGCTCTACTTTGCATATCCTACGTTCTACAGATTGGAAAAGATTATATCAGTTGCATTCTATCGAAAGTTTCTCGACTTGTCCGTAACTCGATTCGTAATTACCGACAAATAGACTGTGAATGTATATGCATTTATGGGAAATCGAAAAGTGGTAAAATGCGTAGAATACATAACATGAAAAAATATATGAAACATCCATCTACATGATACTCGGTAGGCGAAACAAATGTTTGTTTTCAAGTTCTATCCTTTTAGTGGCCATAAAGATAGGAATTTGCATAAATATAAATTCAGGAACATGATTGGCAACTTTTTATGATTTTTAATAACTTTTCTTTCGAAACTATCATATATGTATAGAAATTGAAATCACGTCTTACGTGAGTTCAACTTGTTATCGATAAATATCATTGGTATATCAAATAAATGTTTGGTTTGAGAGAACTTAAGAATGGAGCGAAAAAAATCCCGAGGCATTTAATAACACTTTTCTATCGGTTAGAGAGTTGCGTATTGAAAGTGAAGAAGTAGATTTCACGTGAATTGAATCGCAACCTATTAACATACTCCCACTGCTTTCTTCTACTAATACCATCCTTTTACTAACTATTCAATTTCAAGTTAAGACAAAATTGGTAATATTTACCATTTCTTACGGTGAACAGCACGTAGATGAAATAGGCGACGATCAGGCCGCCGATCAGTGTCAGCATCTCCGCGGTGAGTTCCAGCAACATTTATCACGCGTTTCACATCGTATCTCTGACTGATAAGCTAGCAAACGATTTCCTCGCACTTTCGACGTAACGCTGTTTTATCATTATAGGTAGTACTTCGGTAACACTCGATATTCTGATTTCCACGTTTCATTCAATCTCTCTGACGTCCGATTTAAACGATCAATTTGTCCATTTGACAAATCACGATCTAGAAAAAAATTCCAAAATTCAACGAACTCTTGCAAACTTCTACTTATTCCACGCACTGTAAGTACCGACGTATTCGACGTTGCCTTCTTTCTATAGCACGCAATTTCTACGTAATTATGCGAGACACCCAGGTACACAGAAGACAAGATCTCGACGATCATCCGAGAGAGAACGCTTCCGTCGCGTTAGTCGAATATATTTCCTGGCAACTATAACTTTCTCGTTTTCTCATGATCGACTAATACCGGAAGACCATACGAGCTCCGTGCACCGCTGTTTACAACCGTTGGTGATTTCTCATTATTGAGGAAAAAATTACGCGCTGAATTCGGCTCACGAAGAACTCTCCATAATTCCAGCGCGATACGCTTTATTTTACTCTTTCCTCGTGATAATCGCACTTTCGATCCGTCGAATCGATTACACGCTGCTTAAGTCGTTAAAAATAGCAGGTCGTTTCCTTCTTTCTCTTCGATGACGATAAATAAATTCTTCTCTCGCAATAAGTAAAGGAGGAAAATGATTTGATACCATCGACAATTCGTGATTACAGACAACTGTACAGCTGTATACACATTTAATACGCGAATTGAGACGACGTTGCATGCGTGCGTCTGAACACATGCACGGCGCGAATATGATCGAACGACAGATATAACGAGAACCTTTAAACCCTCATTTGAATAGTTGTCCGACGACGATCCTCTGAACTTTGAAGTTTCTCGGTGGAGATGGTAATCTGTTTACGTGTCTATCGTCAGCAGGTTATCTCTGCTATCGTTACAATTGTCGTCATCGATAATTACATCGACTCTTGTTTTCGTTACACTACAACATTTTCGTTGAAAAAAAAAATCAAAAGACAGATCAACGTACGTAACACAGGAAACTAACGACACCACGTACGTGGCTTTCCGAAGATATTCGAACGAATGTGAATACTCTTTATCGGTTTATTATCTGTATTATGCGGAACGTTTTGGAATTTTATTAGCCTTGTTACGAGATACGATTGTTCTGATTATAGTCAAGATCTGGTCAAGATTCTGATCAAGATCATATATGTTCATTATTCACTGTATACGATGCTGTATATTGTTTTTTTAATATATTAAATAAATTTATATTAAAAATATTTTTATGAAAAAAATGTTAATATATTATGTCTGCAATAAATATCTTGTAATTTCGATATACATTTTAAAATTCGTTTGAAGTTACATCATTTTGATGATGACAGTCGTGTCTCATTAAAATACTAATGAAATTTCAAAATATTTTATATAATACATAGGATATGTACATAATCATTTTCTAAGATAAAGTGTTTAAGCTGCAGTGCATTTAATTGGAAAACATTTATTCACCTGTTTTATCAAGAACAGAGAGAAAAAGGCGAAATTTATGTGCGTGTCGTGTTACGGTTAGTCGAATCGCACTAATCGCTGTTACCTTTTTGTAGCTGGTCGCGTGAAATACTGTCAGGGAGCATTTAATACTCGCAATCATTGTAATTACCGCGGTGGCGATTGCGTAATGTCGTTTAGATACTTCTTTCTATTACCTTAATTTAGTTGCAGCTCCATGTGTTTCTTAATTTTAAGCGGATAAACTGGCAAAAACACAAGAAGGTATGGTAAGTTTTTTGGAAAATGAGAAGAAGATGATTATCGAAATCAAACATCCAGGATGCAAGCTGTGCAAAACTGCTCGTAATATTGTCTGAGAAATACTTCGAAGGCATTGCGGAGTGAGGATCGAACAGTTGACGCATGGCTTCGTTGTGTGTCTTATCGAAGCCAATTATCGTTTTTCCAACGCGTAGCGAACGCCGTCTATAGCAGGTAAAGATATTATTGCGAAGCAGTTAGTAGTCTAGCGCTCGATTCGAAACTCGTACAATTTCTAAGGCTTCTTCAGAATCCTCGAAAACCTTAAAAATCTATGTTTTCCCACTGAAATGCCAACTACCAAAGTGTGACGAACAGAGTAAATTGCATTATCGGCTATTAATCAGTTCATTGAATTTCAAATACCTTAAAATACCATGGAGACGGTGTTAGCTTATCGGAAGTAGATCAAATTAAAAGGGAATGAGATAAGAGACCAGGAAGTTTATTCCTAAATATTTTTGCTCCGACATGGACTACTGCGTCCATCGAGACACATCCAAATCCTGGTTGAACAGAGATAAAAAGCCTGGTGTTTACATCACGAAGGAGGCTCCATTCACTCGCGAATGAGGTAATTAAAGGCCACCTGGAGAACGCGGCGAGATTAACGGAATTGATTCGTCGAATCGTGAATCGCTTTTTCTCTCTTTGCATCTTCCGTCTTGCTATCTTATCTCTCAAGGGCGCAATTAACGAGCGCCTAGTTGGCCCAGGTAATTGCAATTATATACGCATCGTAATTAGAACAAACACTTCTTTACGCTCATTTTAACTGCCCTTCGCACTGGAAAATAATTTCCGTAACACCTTGACGATCGTCGACTTATCTTCTGTATACCTTTCGTTGGATCTACTATCTCTAATAATAGTAATCTAAAATTTATAAATATTCATATGCTTACGAGTATGTTATATTAAATGCAAAGATCACACGTCGTTGTTCGAAATTCACTTGGATCTCACTTTCACTTGCTGGCCGTTAGTGGCGGAATTTTCAAAGGGGTACGTTTGCTTGCTCGCCCAGCTGTCACGCGTTCATATCGTTTACGTGATATCGTAACATATTTTTAATTGAAACGGATGCTGGTTGATTAGAATACGACGCGGAAACACGAATCGGCCGATCGTCGAACCGGCGAATCGCGAGTCGCCGCTCTGTGTGTGTGTAATCGCAGGCCTGCGCTGCTCGCGACTGAGCCTTTGCCAAAGCGGCTTGATACGCGACCGACGTACCCCACATACGCCGCTCTGTACGGCTTCCTTTTAGTGGGGGATACTTTTGCGAGGGAACCTACATTTTCTAAAATCGACAGACGCCTTCTGAACGATCGTGCGACAACCAACTAAGATGCATCGTCGCGTACGCGGATTTTTCATTTATTATTATTATTATTCATGCTTGTTTTTTTTGAGATATTCGAGTATTTAATCTAGTATTTTATCATAGATAGACTTTACATTATCGGTGTTTGTTTTTAAGGTAAGTAGAAATCCATTTATGAGCATTTCCATTTGTTGAAACGTAATTTCAGGTGATTATCCGAGGTTTTACCGATTCAGTCTACATATCTGAACCTGAGTTCTTATCGCATAAAGGAAAGATCATAGATAGTAGGGAAATTTGTCGAACTTCTATCGCATGAACTCCAACTATATAAATTGTTTGTCCCTAGACAAGTTCACATACAGTAATAAGCAAAACTGAACACACGCTCTTTAAAACTCTTGTAACAACTATTTTAAAATTCGACCAAACGAATTGATTCTTTCTTTGAAAAGTTAGATAGATTAGTCGACTAGACTAAAATTGTTGTTGCAATTTTTAAAACATTATTCTATCTTAACGGCTGTGTGTTCGGTTTTGCATATTATCGTAAATAGAGTTCTATCGTATTGAAGTATTTAATGCACGTGTATGAGCATCTCAGAAACTTGTATTCCATGTGGACAGACTTTGTATTATAGATGTTTCCGTTTTTTATGCAGTGTTTTATGCAGTAGGTAATTATGCCTTTTTTCTACAGTTGTATCGGTACAAAGACACTCGACGATATCGAGCATTAATCTTCTCATTCGCAGACGCGTATTGGGTCAGTATCGATCAGTGGTAATTGAAATTCTACTTATAAACGATAATAGAATGAAATGTTGTTATTAGAGGCGCAAAATTCTCGGCTACACGCGAGGAGATTGATCTGTATCTGCGAAACTGATAAAACTCCTCTTGTCGAATTTATTGCATGTAAGAATGGCGAATAAAGATTCGAGAGAAACTTATGGAACAATGCGATCTATGCTTTATTCAGTCGTGTAAACTGTGATAAATATATGTAGGAATAAACCGCATCATTGTATGTAAACGTCGACGAAATGGCGCGTAATAAATATTGATGGCTGAGATTTACAGTTGCATTTATCTGCATACATACAACTTAGAAACGGTAATATTTACCGCGTGAAAGTTTACAGTTTAATATTGCGGTAGAAAATTGTATTTATCAATTTGTAAACATTAGTTTTAAATTTATTAATACTTTATCGTGTCGCTTTCAAATTTTATTGTACGGAGTATACATCAAAGATTGTATAGATTGCACGATTGATATAAATCGATTGTTTTCGGACATTTCATTCAAGTAAATCACCGTGCGTTATCTTCGATGCTCGATAGGATTTAAAACAATCGCGCGCTGATTTCGTCGAAAAACCAATGCCGTCCCGAACGAATTTTCCTTGAAAATAAATTATAAGTAAAACGAATGTGATTACACCTGATGACGTTCAACTTGTGTTTAATCATCGACTCTTCCAAGCAGGAGAATAAAAAGAGTGATTTTTTCCGGAATAACGATAAGACAAACTTTTCTTTCGGATACTGACTCATTTTTCTTACGCAATCAGTAAACGAGCTACGTCGTTTAAGATTATTGTCCTGAAATCATTATATTCACCATTGTTCCGTACTTCAGATTGTCCTTCGATTGAAGAACCGCGAATGATTCATTCGTTAGAAAATAACTTGCACAAAAGTCAAGAGGATCCAGTAATTATCGTCAAATATGTAACAATTGATGAAAGATAAGAAATTTCTAAGATGGGAATACACAATCAACGATGAACTAATTACATAAATTTGAAATTCATAATTTTTGTCGATAAATTTTTATCACCAAAGTGCTTAAAGGAACGGTGACCTTAAATTACCATATAAGTAGACTTTGAAACATAGTGTGAGACACATTGACGAATGATAGTTGAAGAAATAAAGTGACGGAGAGAAAATATCAGCTGAATATAAATCTACGTTCGTTTTTGTTTATCTTTTATTCATCTACTTTTGATTTAAGAAACCTACGAATACATTTAAATAAATAACCAAATATCATTTGAGAAACATACTGTCCCAGTTAAAAAACGTTTTTCCTGAATTATTCGGTAGCCTGTCATCGAATGTCGACGTAAAGCTTATGCAAACGAGTACAAATGTCGCCTATATGACTTTTACATGCGCCTTTGGCGCGACGATCGCTTTTCCATGCAAATTATCTATCCTCCATACGCGCTCTTTTGTTGCTTTTGTACATCTGACAATGTATTCAAGCGGTTTCTTTCTTATACACGTTACACATGGATCATTGTGAATGCGAGTGAAGAAACACAAAATTTCGTTGTAGAATACGCGTCGTTACTTTTTCAACGTCAAGCTATCCTAATATGGTACCAATTTACAGTAAAGTTTAAAGATCATGAATTTTTAACCATGCCTTTTTTCTTACAAGCGAGTCGCGCCTTTTCTTAGGAGCTTTATTCTTCTCGCCTGATTTCTCGAGTTACAAGTCATCCCACTCGACCAGAACCTTTCTGGCAGAGGATCAGGTTCGAATTTATCCCGATGAAACTGCGATTTCGACGCTACGAAAATCGATAGACAGTGTGGGAACACGTCGTCCTCGTTTCCCGCTTTTATCTTTTTGCTCTCCTTTCAGTTTCAATTAAAAGAGCTCGGCGCATTTTTCACAACAGCAAGATAAATACAGAGAACGATAAGATTTGTATTTATCTAGAAAATCTTTTTGTGTGTTTCCAAGCTTCTGAAATTTGAAATCATATCCCCAATTTCATCTATACTGGATTTCCTGTTAATTTTTTTATTAATTTTGGAACAGTTAGTTTCTCAATGTAAAAAGTACGAAAAAGGTGTTGGGCTAACTTTTTTTCTTTAAATTCGTCGTTTCTACGAATCGTTCACAACAATGAATCCAAGCTGTTAATCGATAATGGACATACAGGAGTGAGAAATCGTGTAGATGATGTCGATCTATTGATTGCGGAAAGTTCTCAGTGAGAATCGAACGTTCATATTAGAGTACATATCGATAACGAGTGACTCAGGGAATACACGTAGAGACTCGACTACACGTGACAGGAATGCGTATTGTGTATTTGAGATCTATAGGAGCGTGATACGATTGGTAAATGGCAGAGTTTTGTGTGAATAGTTCGCGTAAATTCAGAATGGATTGTTAAAAGTCAGACATCTAAATATCTGACGGAGAATTAATTTAAACGTTAAACGCTTCAAACTTCCTAATAAAAATATAGACTCGCAATAAAGACACCTAAGAATAAAATTTCATTCGAATCGTCAGATAGTCCAATTTACGTACAGAAGATTAATATCCACGAGCAAACCGATTTCCGTATGAAAAAGTTTGATTTCACAGTTTCCCCAAGATAGAGATTGTGTCACTTGTACCACATTTCCTTTCCAAATGCTACATTTTCTACTCTCAAATTCCAGCCTATGACAATTCTCAGTCTTGTACGATTCTACCACAACCATGCCGTAATTAACGTAATTCCAACCAGAATAATTACAAAAATTCTTCCACAAGTACTGCAAAATCGTGAGCACCGAACGAGTCGTCTCCGTTTTACGGTTGCATCGACTTCTTTCTAAGGATACCTCCGGCTCGTGGGAAGGTAAAAAACGCGCACTGAATCGTCAAACAGAGACCGGCAACGACAATGATGATTTCTACGCTGCTTATGTAACTCTCTAAAGCTAGGTCGTTCGACGTTGGTTCGCTCGTCATCGACGAACGAACGTCATCTCGATTGAAGCAAAAAGAGAGAACTACATACATTATAAAATTTTCTTCGAATCCAAATATAATACACACTACAGAAATATCAACAAAGAAAAATTATCAGAGTATTTAGAAAGGAGGATATTGGCAAGATTCAGGTGTGGAAACGAGACCAAAGCAAGGGAATACTGGAAAGAAAAGGGAGAAAAAAGATGCAGACTATATAGAAGGAAAGAAGAAGACCAGATACATGTAATAGAAGAATGTGAAATAACGGGAGGACCAAAGAACATAGGAAAAACGCTAAATGAGACTGGAGAAGGTTTAGCAGAACTGAAAGCAATAATAGAGAAGAGAAAGGCAAACGACAGGAAGGAAGCACAGCAAGGAGGCTAAAGCCCAAAGTTGCAATAGTTTTTAGTCATTAGTTGTTAATTTGTAGTTTCTAGTTTTAGTTTTTAGAGATAGAATAATTAAGGGAGTGCGATAAAATAGAGTGGATATAGTGGAGAGGTAGACATATAAGAAGCGAAATAGATATAAGAGACGTAAAACCGAAAGTTCGTCCAAATCCGAAAGGTACGGACTAAGCAATAATAAATAAATAAATATAAAATTTCCTTACTAGAACAGCCATTAGTATTCTAATCGAGTATTAATTGGCACGGTGTTCTAACATCGCTCGACTGGAGAACGGATTTTATTGAGTAAGATAAAATGTTGGGTCATCGAGATTACGCGGTGAAATAATAGTTATAGGACACGAGACTTTAGAACGGATCGCGGCAGATATGATCGTAAAAAGTCACGCGAAACGTGTATTTTAGGATACAGTCGGGGATAAAGACAAGAGCGTAGGTAAGGGTCAATGAGGCTTAATCGATCTAGTACATTTAAGTTTTATCTATCAAGACTATTTAATGAATCGTTGAAATTAATGTTTACATTTCTGTGTAAACAAACCATATCTAACGAAACATCATTGATACCTATTTCCACCAGCTGTCCACTTACTTTTGTCCCAGACTGTACATTGTGTGTATTATGTTTTGAGTCGTTTGTAAGAAGCGAACCTGTATGTGTGTTATTTGAGCGAAAACGCTCGAGGCGCCTGGGGCCAGGCAACCCGTTCCACATCGCTGCGTTGCGGTGCGATCATCCTAAATCATAACGCCTGTGCCTATACTTTGAAGCGCGTATACGTGAATTTTAAGGGTCGTTTGATATCTTTAAACGATGTCCAGGCATCGAAGATTATAGCCTGATAAAATATAGCTTGATAAGAGGTATATATTGGTTGTGAAATGAAAACTGTGTGTGCTGTCTCGTTTGAAGAATACGAACGACGTGAAGGGCTACTTACTTTCTAAGGACAATCGCAGGGCCATGGCCAAACGTGAGAGCGCGTCTACCAAGGGTGTTATATGTCTTTCCATAAGCTTGTCATCTAGCAACCAGCGTTAGTCGAGTTATTAACTCGAGCGAGGAAACGTGCAATTAGAAATTGATGTCATGTTTGTTTCTTTCATCCTTTTCATTAACAACTGCTATATTTTCTTAATTGCAACTGTTAAATGTGCATTCTGTACAGAGTGTTTTAAACCATATCACCGTTTTAAAACATGTTACATTAAATCGAATAAGATACGTTACAAGTATTAGAACTTTACAATGGAAAGTTAATCGCGGAGGAATATTTTTGTCATGTCTCAAAATTACTCTTTACTTGTATTCCTCATTTTCGGTGTCTTGTATTTGTAAATGGATATGAAACAGCCTGTACAGGTGCGGACGTTTTCTTGTAACTTTTGTTTCGCAGAGGAAACGTTCGGTTGCAGAGTCGCGGCGCAACCAAGCGTCAAAGAAGCAATCGAGATACCCGAGAGTTAATTGCCAACCGGGCACTGCCGCGTTTTAGAGATGTATCAGGGGTAAAAAAAAGCGATCAAGATGGTTGGTAGTTAATTGTTAAGTAGGTAACAAATACGCAGCGGGTAGAAATATAGCCGTAGCGATTAAGAATGGAATTCGAAGCTCTCCAGATACGTCTTCTTTCTTATTTCAATGCATTCGAGCGTTTTCTGCAGATGGCAGCATAGCTTGGTTACACATCGGATACACTTGCGCTCATCTAAACTTATATTTGTTAAAAAATTAGAAAAGCAAACATACGGAGAAATATTAATTTATAATTTTCCCGTTACTTTTCTCAATCTGTTTCAATTTATAAAAATTAATTGTTACGTGTATTATAGTTCATTTTTCAACGTAAAGCAGAGCAAAAGGCGCAAGAAAGTGTGAGAGAGAGCAATTACTTGCGTATTTGTGTATTTAGACTTACATGCTGGATGATCGTATAATCGATGGATCGGGGTGTCGTTCAAGTTACCCATCAATCTCACCACTATCTTCTCAACGAAATCTCGAACCGTTTCCATCGTGTTCGCATCTTCTTGCTTCGTGGCCAAACCCTGTCCCGAACTGGTAGCTGCATTTTCCACTCCTAAAAAATTCAAATATTTCTTTAATTTATTTGCAAAACATCGTACAATGCTTTATACTTCATAGTCAGCTTTAATTTAATTAAACGATCGACGAAACGACCGATGAATTTATATCTCCTTTGAGAATTAAAATCAAGGACGTCGTTTAGCCTCGTAATTAATTTCTTCGTTTCTCATCGTTTGCGGTACTTGCACTATCTTTCGACTGAATTGTTCGACTGGAAACGGAAGCGAGATTCATCAAACCGACGTTATTGTGTTCAATTAAGCACACTACATTTAAATTCCTTTGAATTTTCGTAAGGTTCGCAAGGAAAAAGATTCCATGTGAACGATGAGCAGCTGTCCCTGCGATATCATTTTAAACTAGGTCAACGAGCATAAGTCCGGCATCGTTAACATTACTTTTACCTTATCAGCTTGATATATGAACATTTTATAGCACACATCACATATGTTTCATATATGATTGTCCAATTTTTTCTTCATAAACTACGAACGATTCCTGACAAATAAAATACTAGTTCAATTAACAATCTAACGCAATATCTTCAAAAATGCTATCGTATGAGATTAACAGACAAGTGGCCATTATTTAACACACGACTCTTGAATTTGTTCGTCTCAAAACTGCAAATAATCTCCGCCAAACAAACTACTCGTCTAATTATTTTCCTATATTATTATCTATATTATCGTCCAGTTATTATCTTCAATTTAACAAGAGTAACAAAAATATCTGCAAAAGTGACCACGATATTAAAATCAAGTCATCATTCGTCTACTTCAACAGGTTCCCTAACTTTTCCATCCAATTAAATCCATCCATCTAAGATACAAGATAACAAGCGAGAAAAAGGAAAAATGGAAACAACTTACTCATTCACGCGGCCGTAACTTTCTCCCCCTTTCGTCAGAACGGACGGTTGTCCCAACATGAGCACGAATTGCGCGTTGCCACGAACATTTTCAAAAACTGTCGACCGAATCGATTTGTTTACAATAGGCGCCGGTCGAAATGACGTATCAAGTATCGGTTCAAGGGAACGATGCGGCGCGATCGCGAATCTTTGTGCAACTGACGCGGCGCTTTCTAAACGAAAGTATCGACGACCATTAAAGATCTACCACTGTAGTCCTTTTTTCCCCTTGTGTTTGTAACCGCATTCTCTTAGGCGAGTACCGCAAGACCGGTATATTTATCAGTTATCACACGGCTTCGAGGCCGCTCGAGCGCGAACAGACATCGATCTTCGCTCGAGGATACTTGGTTCGACGTTCGTCCCACGGCGTCGATCCTTTGCCCTTCAGTTGAATCAAAATACGATCTCTTTAGTCTTCCGAGTACTCCGTCCTTCGTTTCCTATCATCGACCATTATGTGTTTTATTTATTCAATCTTTTACTACAAATTCTCCTTTTACATCCTTTTCTAAAGATGGATATTTAAAGATCGTTACGGATCTTGAGACGATTCTGATGAAGCTTGATTCTGATGGCCGTTTTGATTGCGTTTTGATGTTGGATGTTGCGAAAGGATTTATGGAATCTTTTATAATTTCTTCTATAATTCTTCTCCGAAGATGGATCCGTAGCGTAGAGTAGAAACTGTTACCGATCTTGAGATCAGTGCGCCCGTTTTTGTTGCTTTTTAATCTAGGACAAGAGTACACTTATGAAACTTCTTTTCAATTTTCTATCACTTATCTCTGACGAGCATTAATTTCGTGCTTGAAAACGAGGCTCCGTTTATTAAACATTTTTTATCACACACTTTTGTCGAGTTTCAATTTGTTCGTTCTAGTTGCACTCTGTTCTCGAAAGTTCGAAAAGAACGAGGCTCTATTCGTTAAATATCCTTTCTTAATTTTCCATCAATCTGTTCTTTTCACATTACGTCTTCAACAAGCTTGCAGTGAACAAACGAGAAAAAATCTCCGGAGGAAGTTTCTTCGAAATTTTTACAATGCCTGCAGAATCATCAACCGACTAACCCGTTCCACTCGTCGAGCCTTTCGAAACGTCTCATCCACTTTTTCATCTCCAATCATCCCGTTCGAAGCCAGACTAATCCTTCAGTCTTGATTAGGTATCGCGACTTTCGCGCGCTTCTGCCGTCCTTGTCTGCTATTTTCCATTTCTAAACGTATAGAACCGGTTACTGGAAGCCTTCCTCACCATCGACCAGATCTCGAACAACCTCTCTAAAAGTCTTCGGCGACGTTCACTGAAAAATGGCAAGAAAACGCTAGGTTCCACGATATTTTCACCAACGGGACCTGCTTTCACGTTGCCGGCTCGTTCGACTTCCGTCCTTCGCGACTGCAGCTTGTTCGCGTGCACGTTGCAATTATTATCGATACACGATTATTCCCCACGCGTGGACCCTGGCAGTCACCTTGCGGTTGCACAACACGCGCGTGCACGAAGTAAACGACGTATCGTTGCGAGCCGAGCCGAGAGGAATCCTCCTTCATGGAATAAACAACACGAAAGAAAATTCACGCCGGAGGAGAGGGGAAAAAATGTTGCTCGATCGGTCCGAGTGGCGATCGACATTGACCGCTCGGTGACTCGTTTTGCGCGAACGGATTCTTTCCAGGGATGCGAGTAACGGAGCGGACGAGACGGCGAAAGAAACAGGCAGAAAGGATTACAGGAGTGCGCGATGTTACTCCCAAGAGTACTGGAGCAGAACTGAGGTTCGCTACGGAGGGCCCGGAGACAATAAGACCGATGAGCGCGCGGGAGTTCCGCTTACAACCGGCCCGAAAACCGATCGGAATTCGGCCCCGCGGCTCCTAATCGACCCTGCCACCGTGTCTTAACAACCTGCTTGCTTTAAGCTTTTTCCGCGCATGATGCCTTGCAGGACAGGAGTAAAGTGGTTTCCTTGGAAATACTTATCTAAAGCTCGTCTTTCTTTTCTTCATGACGAAGAAAATGTTTCGTAGTCTCTTAACGAAGGATTCGGTTAAAAGACGCATCGTAGTGGGAATTTTTTTTTGGTATTTGATATTAGGTGTTGTGTATAAAGGTTAGTTTTTTTTTTTTTTGGTTTTGATAAATTTTTAGAAATATGCGTACAAGTTTCTTTTCTCTTATATGACCAAGAATATGAATTATGGTCTTGTACGGACGAACCTGTTTAAAAGACGCGTTGTTAGAAGAAGCTTTCCAGTGCAATTACGAGTTGGAAGTATTTCTTGAGGAAGAAGAATATTAAAACACGTTTCGTTAGAAGCTTTTCTCTGCAATTGCAAGCCGAGATTATCGTGGATATAGGTTGATCATGTGCTTTAGATTCTTATAAACTCATGGACGTATTTCCCTAAAGGTTTTCTTGCTTTTATGCAACGAAGGAGATGAATCGTGATCTGCCGCGGTAGAACAGTATGTAAATGATCTTAAAAGATTAAGGTGCTTTAGATTCTTACAAATTCTTGCAGATGTATCTCTAAAATTTTCTTTCCTTTTATGCAACGAAGAAAATGATTTATGGTCTCTGGAGAAGAACGATACTGAAAGATTTTCATTCTTAAGATATTTATAAATTGAAACTCTGATGAATAAAAGTAACGCGGTGTGATCTAGATTCTCGTAAATCTTGTCTCACATTCATCGATCTCAAGAGAGTACAAAATCTTCAGATTTGCAATTTTTTCAATTTCAAAGATCTTCAAGATTCTCAAATTGGAACCTTCTCGTCATTCTGTTAACATCGTTTCATCGTTCTAAAGGCCCATAAGCTATTCAAAAGCTCCCCCTAAATTTTCATTTACAATTCCCAGTGTAAAACTTTTATAAAGACGTTCTAACTGCGTTCTATCATTATCGTCAATGTTTCGTCCTATGTTTTATATAAAAATTCAACTTCAGCTAGCTTATTGCAATTCACGAATTTAACACGAGCGGTAATCAAGCGAAGAGATCGCGAGTTCTAACCAGCTGGAGGATCTGGTTTTCTGAAATTTCGCGCGGCGGAATGCGCCGCGATCCATGCCGGTTTCCTAGAAGAAATAACGAGCGTGGATCTTTCGGCTCGCGAAAAACGACGAACAGGGACAAAACTGTTGGGCACGACCGTGCTCTGACCATGTTTGGCGAAAGAACAGATCCTTGGAATAGGCTGTGTAAGTTGGTAGAAATCAAGAAACCTGATGCGTGTATCCATGTACAAAGAACGCATCTCCATTTGGACAAACCTCCTGCGATCTTGCCTCCTTCAGGAATTCATAATTCCTGTAACTCTTAAACTGCATCCTTCAAGCTGATCTTTCAAAAGACTATTCAATTAACATTGTGTAAGCCTTCTCTAACGTGGATAAGTTTTTTCGATTTTCTCGGCTTCTTACGTCGCAGACTAATCTTTCTTCCAAAATGGAAACAAGAAATCAAATATCGTAGATTCTTTTATATCTGTCTTAAAGTTAAGAAATTTTCGAAGATTTTGGATCGAAAAGCAAAGAGCTACAATTAATTATAATTCTTTTCGCAAATAAAGAAATTTTTCTTATAAAGAGTAAAATTCAGAAATTGTGACTTGATAGTTAAACACAGCATACACACGTAATATCAGGTTAATAAAACGAAACCACGGATCTTGTTAAAAGTTTCTTGTTCTTCAAAACTTCCTTGAGAAACTTTCCCAACGTTACTCAACTCTCTATACGTACATACGCAGCCTCGTCGATACGAATAAAATACAAAGTATAAAATTCTGGGTGGAGGGGCAAATTCATAGCATAGCATAATTCGATGACAATCTACTTTCGTGCTTGCCTAACGTTATGATCGAATAAGATAAGATCATTTGGGTTAGAAGTATATTCGTGTCAAGCTAAGTAGTTTGATAATGACAAATTTTTAAATTGTTTTCTAATAATAGACTATTTAACTAATTATCGATGACCTCATAAACGTTCAAATATATTACGTATACATTATATTTAGAATAGTATATTATCGACAATTTGATAGCTATAGTTTTTTCATAATGACAACTGACCTTAATATCTTCTGTTGTAATTATCCTATATAATTTAGTGCCGTGTGAATGTTATTTATTTCCACAGGTTATTTTATCGTTTAGTTTATTAGCTCTCATGATATACCATCTCCTCACCGATCTCAATGATTCTACCATACTGTTATACCAATCATTTTCTCGTTTCTGATGTTTTTTTTCTTACTGCACCTGATTTATACGATATTTTCCTATTCATTCATTATTATGTTCGACTAATAGTGTCTTACAACATACAGCATACAAGTTTGATTATTCTGTGTAAAGTTGAAGATCAAACTTCGAGATATCGGAGCTTAGCTAACTTAAAGAACCTTGTCTCACTACACAAGTGACCCGCATCGTAACTTGCACTGTCAAGTTATACATAACGGGCCGAGAAATCATGAATCGCGTACATTCCACGTGACGTGAGACACGAGCATTTTTTTCCATCGAAGAAAAGCTACAGTTTCCACGGGGCCACTATTTTATCCGTCCGCTATCTAGTAGATAGAAGTTCTCGTTCCTGATCAAACGGTCCGATACGATTCACGCGGAAAAGATCGTAGGCCGTGTGCAACGAACAATGAGCATCGCGGGGAATCCAGCGTGAGATCATTTTTGCGACCCGTTCTTATTGTTGCCTCTTCCGTTACACGACTTTTCTGGCTTGGAACAAGGACGCCCGTTTCAAGATGGCACAATGGTGTCTCAGCTCGCGATTCAACGCTGAATCCAACGTCAATTAACATGTTCGCTGCAAGATTTTCTCAGATAGTTATTTCGGGTTAATTTCGTTTTTCTTTATTTTCCTTGCGACTGTTTTTCCCACTCTTTCACTGGATCGCTCGTGTCGTGAATCTCCTCCAATTAGCTAAAGATCTAAGATCCCCTCACAGCTGTTTCCGTATAAAAGCCTGGACAAATTGCAACGTTCATTACATCGATTGACGTTGATCTTTCGTGTTGACAGGTTAGATAATCTTCTTCGATTAGTAATAACGTCTCACGAATTTCTCGATGTTCTTGCGGTAATCTATTGGCGTGAGATGACGTTTTATTGACTAAGACGGCGAATTGATGGATGATTTCGTATATGTTATTTTGTATTCGCCACGTCGTATGCTTGCAAACGTGTACCTACGTGTTTCGCGTAATTTTCACTAATCTTGCGTTATCATATAAAATATGTAAACGGTAAAAATATATATAAGGAAATAGAGAATAGAGAGAGAGTGATAATTACAGCGGGAGAGAATGAAAATAGTCGGTAGAATTGGAAACATCTGACTTTCTAAAATTCAAGTTCTAATTGACCTATCGTTAAGCTCAGCTATATAGCCGAACAGTTGAAGAGACGAGAGGATCGCAAGGAAGACGACGTCAAAGCGAGGGAAACAAATGTTACGTGGAGCAAGGGCAATGCGATTAAAATTTACACGAGGTCGTTTCGACGTTTAATTAAGCTTTACATCGTCGCTTAGAACAGATGGTTCGAGATTATCGTCGAGTCGTGGAAATTCGCTCGAATTTCACGCCGCTCGCTACCTCCACGACAAACTCGCAATTAATTCCCTCTCTAGCACCGTATGCACAACGCGTATCGATTCGTCGATCGTTCACCGCGCCCACGGCTTCCAACCTGCAAATCAATTTTCCTCGAAGGTCTTGCAATTGTCCGCGATTCTCCTTCGAGCTCGACCTGTTCGCGATTCTTTCGTGGACAATCGTTTCTCCGTTGCTTCTTTTCAAGGCACTGCATTAGCGAGGAACATGTAGGAATGCTTCACCTTGTGTCGCCTTGGAAGCTGCATTATTTATAAGGGGTCCGTCGGATCGATTTTCTTGGGAACTCGAGGGACGCGTCGATTTTCTTGCATTCGCAAGTTTTACTAGCTGCACTCGCCGTGTCTAGTCACCCGATACTTTTATTCAAACTTTTCACGGTATGTTTGGTGAATAATTTTGGTCTGCAGTTTGGAGCAGAGGGTGGCGCAACAGGTAGCTATTGTCGTTTGCAGAATTCGCGAATGCTTTTGAAAGTCTGTAGGTTACAGAGACGAGACAGAGATGGAACATTTTGCAGCGGCTACAAGGAGTATCGGGATTTTCTCTATGCTATGTACCTTTCCTTTTGCTTTATATATTATGCTGGATATGAAATATTCGTTTGACTTCCCTTGAGCATGTGCTCAGTACTGGAATTATAAAACTTGTCAAAGTAACGGTTCTTTGATATCTTGTTATTCCAATTATAATGCTAGTATTGTATATAATTATTATGCTATATAATTGCTTTCAAATGTTTATGACAAAATTAATGATAATATTGAAATAAAATCATGGTTATATTGTATTTGCTTATTTTCTTCATAATACTTTAATTATACGCACTCGTGCATAGTATTATAAGTCTGTAATATTAGCAAGGAACTTTGAATGAAATTGTATGCTTATAGAGTAGAAACCAGGAAATTATGAGTAACATTCTAAATAAAATAGTAGAAATATTTCTACATAACTGGATAGTCTTCCTAAGGATAACGAGTAAAATGCTTTTTCAAATGACAACTCCCAGTAGATCATTTTATAGCAACTACACGTTGAAAAGATGATATCGCTAGGAACTAGTTCGTTTTCCTGCTTTTTCCTCGGACACGTATTAATTGAAATAGTTTCGTCGCTGTTTCTAAAGAAACCGGTTATTGAGTCGATAAAAGTCTTCTTGTCTTCGGTTCGTTTACGCCCTTATATAATTGGTATCAGACCCGTTTCCGGCGATAATCATAGCGATTGCAACACGGTTTTATCGATGGGGAAAGTGACAATGTCGATAATCCATATAATCCATATCGAAAGATCGATCATTTATCACCTGTGCACATTTATATTATCATCCAAGAATTAAATTTATGGTTTCAAATAAGAAAAGATACTGTTTCGTTTTTTCATATCGACTGATCGCAATTAATCAAAACGTTGAATTTAAAAAGAAAGTGATTTACTCATAAGTTTGTTTATCGCACGGAGGATTAATAATTCCAAGGTAAATTTTAGAAAATAATTTTTGTATCGTCATTAATATTCTCTGCTTTATGTTATGTTGATTGATCAATATACTTGCTGAGTGGCTTATATGCAAATTAAAGATTCGTGGAAATCGTGAAATAAAGATTAATGAACAAACCTGCCACGTAAACTTGTGATTTTGCCGTATTGAAGTATCGATGTAAATCTTTCTCGTCGATCGGCCCACCGAATGCCTCGACTCCGTTTTTTTTCAACCAGTACCTAATAATAAATTCGAATTTCATTAAAAACTTTTCGAAAGTCGAATGATAACGATCGCATAAATGTTATTTTAGAAAATTATGCAAGGTAAGAGTTAAATTGAAAGGAGAAATTATGCAATGGTTTAATGAAGTTACTAGACGTTTCGTAAAATTAAATAGAGTTTCGTATAGAATTGTGTAACGAATTAGTATATCGCCGTGGGAACCTTTGTTGACGGCAAAAGAGACAATGCCAAGCGTTATCTGACGGGTCCCAACGGGAGCAGCCTTTCCTGCAGGATTTTCCACCGCAATCCTCACAGCGGACTCCACGTCCCAGGAAAAATGGCTTTAGACAGCAGGAGCAACGATTCTCGCTCACGGGAATTTGTTTTTCGTCCTCCTTCGAGTCTCCAGGCTTCCTGCAACATCGCATGTAATTTAGAAAAAATTCTGCCGCTTAATAAAAATTGATGAATTATCTGGCAAATTAAAAATTTCCATACTAATATACTAAATTAAAAATTACTGATATTTGCTATTGGAATTTTCCTGCTACTAACGCAGGTGATTAAGAATCAATTTTATTGCGAACTTACGTTCAGAAATTGATCTACGATGAATATTGCAAATGCTTTCGATCAAGGGAAACAATACTTCGTCGTGCATCGACAATTATAATCACACAATGGTACGAAACGACATTAAGGGCACAGTGGTGGACGAAAGAAAGTTTGAAATTGCTACTTGCGTATATATAATAAATTAGTAACTTTCAACTTTATGTCCATTCATTTCTCTGGTCAAATGCATTTCCAGTCTCTAAAGTTATGGTGTTTGCTGGTGATACTCTCTCACTTTCAAACTTTCTTTCATCCCCCACTGTACATCTCAATAATACAGTTTATAAGAATTTGCTTTTATTAGAGGACCATTATCAAATGATCGATATCCAATATTTCCACCGATATTTACTTACAATTGTTAATTAAAGTGTCACGAACAGATAGATACATAATTCGTAGAACGTTTGTATGCACGAAATAAACTATCGGTTATCGACTATAACAGCGCGGTTCCGCGATTGCGATTAATCGATGTAGAGGCGCTCTAGGAGGTGCTGCACGCTTTGCAACTTAGGCGCGTAACCGGTCGAGTGCAGTGTACGCGTCATTATGTAACCACTTTTAAATAAACATACTTTCGAAATGCTTTCTTGCCTATATTAAATCCAGTTAACTTTCCACGACGACCTGGCGGTAACTCGATTACACAACGCTATCGATTACAAAACGTTTTTACGCCTAGTGAACGATATATATACATAGGTTCACGAAAATAAGTGGACACTTGCCATAGTATGGCTTTCACGGTTCATGTCGTACATGCTGTCTGAAAAATTTTGAGATTTTATTAACACCACAATGAGACACGACTGTCATGATTATATTGATAAGATTTGGATCCAATTTAAAAATGGATATAGAAACTGCAAGATATTCATAGCAAACTCATGTACATAGTAACAAAATTACCTATACAGTATGAACAGCTATCTCGAGAATGTAATAAATGTTAAATATGGCCTCACTGCGTGCTGAGATTTATTAATGTGATGGTAATTGACTGTTTAATTATTTCTGTAATTCCTGCGATATATATATGCTTGTATTAAATCTTGTACTTTCTAGAGATATTTTCAAATTTATTTTAAACTCGACCAATATAATCGTCAGCGTTCATAATGGCGCCAGTGATGATTTCAAAATATTTCGTATAATACGAATAACATATTCGTAAGAGGTGACTATCAGTCGATCTTTTCTGTCTTTTCCAAAGGAATCCTTGTTCCATTTTCGCCAATATAATTACAGTTCCTCTATCTTGATTCTCCTTTACGAAAAACGGAAGCTAGAAATTACCAAGGGACTAATTTCCATAAACGTCGATTATTTCCTCCGCTTTTGTGCCACGAAACAACGCATCCATCATTGTCGAGGCGGCTCTGCCGCGC